CGTGGGCATACACAAACAGCCCACTAATCACGTAGTGCCCATCATGGGGTCAATCGAAATTCCGAAACAATACACCGTCAAACACCAACATCTGGGCGTACCGAGACCTGTCAAGATCATTGTCATTGGGGCTGGAATATCAGGAATAGCGTTTGCGTACAAGGCCAAGGCACTGGAGAAGGTTGAGTACATCATATATGAAAAGAACGCAGATGTGGGTGGGACGTGGCTGGAGTCGCGTTATCCAGGTTGCTCCTGTGACATTCCAGCCCACTCATACAGCTATCCTTGGGTAGGGAACCCGACCTGGTCCAAATTGTGAGTGGCATGAAAGAAGACTGATGATACTACTGTCTGACAATGCCTCATAGTTATGCTGGTGCAGAGGAAATCTGGGGCTTCTACAGTGAGAGAGCCGAAGAATATGGAGTTTATGACCATGCAAAGTTCAACCACCTCGTGGTCGGGGCAGCCTGGAACGAAGACTACGGGAAATGGATAGTGAAGGTGGAAGATCTCGAGAGCGGGAAGGTGATCGAAGACTCAGCAGATGTTGTCATCAACTGTGCTGGAGCGTTGAAGTAAAATTTGCGCCAGGACCCTTCTCTGTATTCCTGCTCCAGCTAACGCTGCGAACAGCAAGTGGAAGTGGCCCGACATTCCCGGACTTCACTCATTCAAGGGGACGTTGGTCCACACCGCGCGGTATCCCCAGGACCTCGATCTCAAGGATAAGAAGGTTGCGGTCATTGGCGCTGGCTCGTCCGCCATCCAGGTGGTTCCTTCCATCCAACCAGGTGAAAACGAAACGCTGGCTCTTGACACATGAATGTCAAACTGACACAGAATAAACTAGTTGTGAAATCTCTCTTCAGCTTTGCTAGATCTCCGACCTGGATTGCCCCGCAGTTCGCAGGACAACTAGCCCCGAACGGACGTGCAACAACATACACCGAAGAACAGAAGCAAAGGTTCCTCAACGACCCAGAACACCTACTGAAGTATCGCCAAGAAATCGACCATGTTATCAATGCTAGATTTCCGAATTTCTACAAAGGTTCTCCTGCCCAGAAAGCTGCGCGCGAGATCGTAGAGCGGGGAATGAGAGAAAGGCTTGCAAATATGGATCCAGAGCTTCGTGAGAGGCTTATTCCAGATTTCGACGTGGGCTGTAGACGGTGAGTATATTAACCACTTTCTATCCCGCAGGCTGCATTCTTATGACGATTTCCACAGTGTAACGCCCGGGGAAGGCTACTTGGAGGCCTTGCAGAAAGACAACGTCGAAGTGGTCACAACGAAGATTCGCGAGATCAACCTAGAGGGCATAGTCACCCACGATGGCAAGGCATACGTGGTTGATGTGATTATTGCCGCCACAGGATATGACACATCCTACGTTCCCCCATTCCCTCTCATTGGAAGAAATGGAGTGGATCTCAGAGAGCGGTGGTCCAAGACGGGGGCTGAGGCGTACTTTACTTGCGCTGTCCCGGACATGCCGAACTACTTCAGTGAGCTCATATCTTTGTTTCCGCATTGTCATCTATACTAACTCTGGCATCAGTGGTCGTTGGGCCAAACACTCCCATCTCGAACGGCTCCCTGATGCCAGCTATCGAGGCGCAACTCGAATTTGCGTTGAGTTTTGTGCAGAAGATCCAATGCCAAGGGGTGAAATCCGTCGTGGTGAGCCAGCAAGCGACTGCCGAATTCAACGAGCACAAGGACGCCGTGATGGAGCTTTTGACGTTCTCTGGCCACTGCAATAGCTGGTAAGGGCTCCAACTCTTGGTTGCCAGTGGTGATCCACAACACAAGACGGCTATTCTGACCATTTTCTACGTGCAGGTATAAAGGCGGAACAAGCAATGGAAGGATCATTGGACCATGGCCAGGCTCGGTCAATCACTTCATGGAATCTCTTAGAGAGCCGCGCCTTCAGGACTTCGAGTTCATTTACGACACTCCAAACCGTTTTGAGTACCTCGGAAACGGACTCTCCTTGCGGGAGCTCAGGAATGAGCCTCTCGGATGGTACATCAGAGCATAGCTTCAATGTCAAGATTGGGTATGACTCCGTCTGGATCCTAGCCGTATCAGTCTATATTGAGAGAGGCTCCAAATATCCTCTGAAGGCGAATACATTATACGTCATTGAAGTACAATAACTTGTTCACCATTCTTGCCAAAACTTAGATTCGTTCGCTACAATTACTCGTGGATATCATGATGCTTTACTTTAGTAGCGAATCAACTAGCTGGCCTACTATTGAGAGACAGTCGGACTTGACTTCTATAGGAGCTCTAGATACCCATATAAACAGTTGGCCCAAGTTCAAACACTGGAAGCATCCCTTGCCCATTGTGTAGTCGTTTATTTACGTGAGATTCGCGTGATCGAAGACACTCACATACGGTGCAGAATTACCAGGCACAGGAGAGATCGAACGACAACAGCTCACTGGGTATAACGACACGTGTCGAGCGGGTCCCTAGGTTTTGAAGTGCAACATTATAATCACTTCGTTAAGGCAGCTTTGCATGAAGGCGTCGGCTTGTTGGATCCGAAAACCAATAATCATGATTTCCAATCCGCCTTTGGATTCACAATCTATCTCGGCCGTCCCTTGCAATAATGACTGCCGGTACCCTTCCGATATACCCAGAATGCAAACCGCAAGCCAAGAGGGGAAACTTCTTCGGCATGGTAGATTTCGTCCACCATTTACCTAGCAACGTCAGGTGATGGATGTGTCGGTCGTACAAGCAGTTCCGACGCCATTCGCGGTTTGTCGGCGGCATATATGTGGTGAGCGTCGGGAGATATTCACAGTGGGTAGGGCGATTTCAGAGTGAGTCTGCTATATTCCATCTCGCAATACACAGTCTTCGAGGCCAGAGCCCCAGATTCCATGGCGCACATCTTTGAGTTGGCCCAGGCCCTTTCGTCCTCGCCCAACTATAGCAATGGATTGAAAGCCGGGAGCCAAATCCAGTTTCCAGCGACCGAGGCATTTGGGGGGTTCAACAGTCCTTCCCGCATAGAAGGAGACCTAGAGAATCTCGAAGTCACCGGGCAGATCCCCTCAGACATCGACGGCACGTTCTTCCGGATCCAGCCCGACCATCGATTCCCGCCTGTCTACGAGTCAGATATCCACTTCAACGGCGACGGCAACGTAACAGCGGTACGTATCTGTGAGGGCCGTGCACACTTCAAGCAGCGCTACGTACATACGGACCGCTTTGAGCACGAAAGTCAACATGGAAAGGCTGTATTCGGTAGATATCGCAACCCGTATACAGATAACGAGGCCGTGAGAGGCGTGATCCGGACCGCAGCGAATACCAACGTCTTTTTTTGGAGGGGAATGCTACTAGCTACAAAAGAGGACGGCCCGCCTTACGCAATGGAGCCATCGACTCTGAAAACCATTGGGAGATACGACTTCGAAGGCCAAGTGTTAAGTCCAACCTTCACCGCTCATCCAAAGTTCGATCCAAAGACGGGCGAGATGATTTGTTACGGCTATGAGGTAAGGGCAAACCATAAAGGCTGTTAGTACAAGCGTCTTCTAAACCGTCTATCACATAGGCTGGTGGAGACGGAAATGATGGATCGTGCGACATTGTCGTCTACACTATTGATGCCGAGGGCGTTAAGACGGAGGAATGTTGGTATAAAGCTCCGTTCTGCGGCATCATCCATGACTGTGGGATCAGTGACAACTGGGTTGTGCTGCCAATGACACCGCTTAAATGTGATCCGGAGCGGTTGAAGCAAGGTGGCAATCATTGGGCCTGGGACCCGAACGAAGATCAGTGGTATGGCCTCGCCCCGCGGAGAGGTGCTAAGCCAACAGATATAAGATGGTTCCGATCAAAAAATGGTAAGCCATACCAAAAGGCTCGTTCTAAGGAGACTTGTCCCTGATGCAACCCCGCAGCTTTTCAAGGCCATACCATAGGCTGCTACGAGACCTCGGATGGTAAAGTCGTGTTCGACCTCACAATCGCCGATGGCAATGTCTTCTTTTTCTTCCCGCCTGTCGATACGCCCGCCGGAACCGTGGCTAGGCGGAATAAAGTACGAAACAAGACAACGCGCTGGATCTTTGACCCGGAGTCGACAGATCCCGACCGCTTGGTCGAGCCTACGGAAGAGATCGAGACATACTCGGGAGAGTTCTCTCGTATTGACGATCGCTTTGTGACCATGGAGTACAACCACTATTGGCAAGCCGTGATTGACAATACCAAGCCGTACGACTTTGAAAAGTGTGGTTCCCCAGCGGGTGGGCTCTTCAATTGCCTTGGACACTTCACCTGGGATAAGTCGATCACCGAGACATTCTGGGCCGGAGCCTGTGCGACGTTCCAAGAACCAGCTTTCATTCCAAGACCTAACTCGACACGAGAAGGGGACGGCTACCTTGTCGCGCTGTTGAACCATCTCGACGTTCTCCGGAATGACATTTGTATCTTCGACGCGCAGAATATCAAACAGGGACCAGTAGCGGTGATACATCTGCCATTCAAGCTCCGTCTGGGATTGCACGGAAACTTTGTCGAGGAAAAAGAGGTCAGAGCATGGAGAGAGGCAAGAGAGCAGAAAATAGGTGTGGTGAAGCCAGCTCGATCGCCATTGCCATGGCAAAGGGGATATATGATAGTTACAAACGGTGTGGGTGAATCGAACAGTAGTGACTAGCTGTAGCTTTTATACATTATCATGAGAGCAAGGCACTCCGAGACTGCAGTTATGGAGTGATACTCATGAATGTCCTCTAGGTGGGAGTTTGGTTGGGTTTCGTGATTGGTTTTCATGCAGCCTTTGCGGAATTCCTCCACAAGCAAGTGTACTTCGTTGCTTGACCTCCCTGCAGCATACGAGGTCCGCGAAAAGCATGAAGTATTTGACAACCCTAGCGGCGAAATCTATTGCATGTGTCCAGTGTTTCTCATTGGATGCTCCCCACCGCCTGACCATGGATCAACTACACCTGGGGCATACCGAACATTGATAATGGGGTCGATAAAGTCGCACCATCGAATACTCCCAGCAACTCCGAGTGAAAGTCGAGCTCGACCATTTCCAGGGCGTCCAATTGAGAGCTGCTAAAATCACTATGCGGGAATCGTCGGATTAGAATCGCCAGAGGAAATGAGAAAACCCTCAGAGCCTAGGCGCAACTTACAAGTCAGGGAAATCAAATGAGTCTTCTAAGGCTTGGGGAGGTTCGGATGGAAGCTCCTGCATCATTGGGCGGTCGTTGACTCTAGAGCCTGGGTTGCTTTGCGGAGGTATTCGTTCGGGAAGTGTTTGGCGTGAGCCGTTGAGACGGCCTACTGAGTCCAAGGCACCGCTTTCTTGCACTCTTGCTTCGAGATCAGGCAAGACCTTCTCACACCAACCTACTTGATCCATGCTCTTGAGGGTGTCCAGGCAGAACTTGATGAGCTGCTGATGTCCACTGTCGCCGTGCTTCTGAAACGCAAGTATCAGGATCCACATCACCTCTCCAATGGAGTGGCAGTCAAGGAGGGTCATGCTCGACAAGATCTCCGCCTGTTTCATGTGCTTCACCACTTCCACCGCCCTCTCGGCCGCTTGGATGCACCGGGCACTTAACTGCTCATAGCATTGCTGTTTTGCTGGAACCGTGATGCGGGACGGCTTCGGAATCGAGACGAGAAGGAAAGGGCGTGTGATGAAGATGACAGAGATCCAGTACCGCAAGTGTAGCACTGCCACTGCTCGTCGATGTTGAGGCGGAAGAAATGATTTCCAATGGAGATACGAAGGGATACTCTCCAGCCACCTACACAGGCGTGTCAGATTGTTGAACACTCGGCTTATCGGCAGTCGACCGCCGGAATGTGCTGGTTCAAGGAAACAGTCGTAGCTGATCTTCTTTCTCAGTTTGACCAGACTCAGTGATAGAGCCTGGTAACCTAGCGGCATATAAGGTCCGGGATCCAACACCTATTTTAAACGTGAGCAATCAATTGTGACCGTAGGGGTCTCAAACGTGCCTGTTCAAGGGCTGGTGGGATATTCAGGAAGACGGCCTCGTCAACTATCGCGCAGGGATAGCCTAGACGAATTGCGATTTCATGGTCCATCGTATAGATTGTCGTCCACACGCGTCTGCATCTCTCCCTTTCGACCAGGTCCTTGGTCCTTGAGCACATGTCTCTATGTAGTCCGAGTGAAAAGGCAATTTTGACCGCAGTTCCCACATTGAGGTAGGCAGCCATACTGTAACAGGAGCCATGCATTGCTAAGGCCTGGCACGAGTTAGAACATGCACAAAACACTCTCAACGAGGGCTGCTCACCAAGAGCCCGAAAGCCTTGATTGCCTCTATGTCAGCTTCATCTGCGGCGGCCGATGACTGATCCTTTGCCATAGCAAGATAGTCGGCTGTATGCTTGCAATCCTGGGGTGCATCTGTACCGGATCCGGCAGTATCATCTGCTGATCGCATACTCCCCAAAGCAAGGATAGAATAGAGCGAACAGAGCCATGAAGCAGTCGCCGTCGACCCTCGATCGTGCAAGGTGCTCTCAAGGTGTGTGTACAATTGTTCCGTCGAGTAAAACCAGTAAATGCAATGTATATGCTCCAAAAACCGCGTCACATATTGCATACAGATCTGTCGGCATGGCAAGTAAATCTCTCCAGTCCGGGTGGTTCTTGTACTCTCTGGCGTGAGGGGCGGCAACAGACCGGTTTTCAATGGTGATATGACTTTGGGATCCAGATGGATTGCGCTCGCGCATGCCATTCGAGCAGCATGGTTCCAACGAATGGAAGACTCTGCTCCGACGTAGCCTTCTCCTCGTGAGCGACATATCTTGCCAGGGCAGATGGGAGGTACACACGATATTTTCCCAGGGAATCCAATACCATACAGCCCAAGTCCTCTTGCAGGAGTGGATGTTCATCCCTTTCCACGACCTCTTGGATCTCATCGGGAGCAGGGTAAGTATATTCGACACCACTGCGTTCGATCTCTCTAGAGGGTGTTTCCATTACAGAGCGGTCACTAGAGTGCATTTTCACCTTGGTGAGCACCTTCTGAATGTTCTCTACCGTCAGATCAGGCAGCTCTTCTTCCGATACGAAATGGCGAAGTAGCTTGATCGACTGGTCGAAGACATCGCCAGAAACCCTATAGAATGGTCTCTTCCTGCTGTGTAAGTTGAATTCACAAGGTACACCTAATGCCTTGCAGTATTGGCAACTCTCGCCAGCTGCAGGTCACACCATTTAGTTGGGTGGCAACGTTACTCAAGGGCCGCGGATGAGCATACCACGACCCACGCACTCGATCCGATGTCAGTATAGCTTCGAAACATATGTATCTCCATGGTAAGGAGGAGCCTCACCCTGGTCTTACGTGCTTTGCAGGTATCGCAGCTCTGACGTGCACGCTTCCTAGGCCGTTCATTTGGGACGCCCGTCTCTAGCTGCTCTACTACTTCAGCTTCTCCTCGAGGCATCTCGAATGTTGCTGGCGATTTAACCCGTTCAACAAGGACAGAAAATGTCGAGGGGCTATGTGTGTGAAGTCTAGCAGCATGGAAGAGAATGACAGAATTGATGGGAAGCAATATCAGTTGCTCTCGGCGTGTTTCCCCTCTTGCCCCTGCTTCGGCAACATGCATCCGACGACTTGGCCACAGATCCAAACACAAACCTCGGTTTCAGTGGGAAGCTGGTTCCGTGCCAATTTCACCGTTGGCCAATCCCCGGGCCTTCTCCTCGAAAATTAAACGTAATGGCTGCACGCCCACCGTGAAATGATCGCGAGTTTCTTCCATCAGCGCCCTACCATCCTCACCCGGCGCGAACTTCACGCTCTCGAAAGCGTGGATGAAGTAAGTGATCAAGTCGCGCATCTCCATGATAGCTAGAGCTCTCCCAATACATCCGTTCATTCCTGTTGTTCTTCAGCTATAATCGCACGTTGTCGCGGAGTGAGCGTCCTTACCGATGTTCCAAGTCAGGAAAGCTTCGGGGTTTTTGATCAACTCCGGTTTTGAATACCACCGTTCCGGTATAAACTCCTCTGCAAAGACATAATTGGCGTCATCGTGTTGCATAGCATATGGTGGAATAACGACCGTGGTTCCCCCGGGAATGAAGAAGTCGTTGATGGTGATACCTTCTAGTGGAGTCACTCGCGGAAAGCCAGAGGGGATAGCCGGATGCAGACGAAGAGCTTCCTGGATCACGCCGTTGAGATGCTGAGCCTTGGACACGTCCTTTGGGTCCAAGCGAGGCCCGCCTTTCAGTAACGGCCCAAGCTCACTGCTTAGCTTCTCCACTTGAACTGGATCTTTGGCCAGGTAATGAAAGAGGAAAGTCAGTGTTGCTGCAGTCGTGTCAGAGCCGCCTACTATTGTAAGCCGGGTGTCACCGCGTAGCCACTGATAGTCGACATCTCGCTTGTCGGTACTCTCATATGCTTCCACAAGATGAGACAGAATCTGAGCGACAAGATCAGCACTTACAATACCGAAGATCGGGGGAGTCTCACGTCATGCCTGTCCACCGTCTTTCGCGTCCTCTCCTGAACTTGCGACCCAACGAAATCCAACCATGCTCTGGCACCATGCCCGGCGCGAGGGAGTCTATGCAGGATCGGCGCAAGCCATGGAACAGGAGTTGTTGGACCAACATCTGCCATGCTGGTCTCGAGAAGATCCGGGATCCAGCGATTTGTCTGAGAACTCATCATATGAAACTCTTTCCCAAGACCTAAGTCACCCATGACATCGAATGCTTTGATTCGTTAGCAGAAGATAGGTTTTTCGACACGCAATACTTGCCAAAGTATTTAAACCATTGAGAAGCATCGAACGGTCGGCCTGTCATCCGTTTCATCTGCCGTATGAACTCCTCGCAGTGCACAGCGACTCTTTCTTCGTAGTCTCGCAGCGCTGACGGGGAGAAGGCCTTCGAGAATACTCTCCTCCGGGCATCGTGTACCCCTTTGTCTCGCACGGTATGTAGGTTCACCAGCGGCAGGGATCGATCGTACCATGGACTCTTGACACACTTGGACTCGTTGCTAAGAATGACGGGTATTGCCGCTGGGTCGTTGATGGATAAGTTACCTGGGCCTTCAGTCTTCTCATGAGCATAATGTTCCGGTATTGCAGCTCTCCACTCACCTGTCCGGACAATGGGGCCATATTTCGCATGTAGCTTCTGAATTACAAGGTAATTGTCAGACTTTCGGATCAGATATGAGTGATAGAGATTGGACAGTTGTGCCCAAAACGGACCCGGAAACCTTCGCAGTGGATGGAAAAGGATCCGGTACAACGCTATGCTAATATAAATGCCAGCCAAATAAGACGAGCTGAGGGCAACTGTCGCAGCAACCGCGAGGAATGGTCGATATTGTGTTAAATGAAGAACCGCGAGAGCGAGCAGACAGACCGCCGTAAATGCTCGGGTAATCCATAGATGTGCATTTCTGTGATGCTCGCCCCGGATGAAATACAGAAGGTGAGTTAGAACGCCTGCAGCTGCGGCAAATGCGCAAGAAGCTGAAAGGCCTTTCATTCTGTTTGGAAGTGGCCGCTTCCTTTGCTACGGGTCTATTGGCATGAAATCTCCCGTCTGCACGAAATTAAAGATCTTTCTGGAATTTGGCGATCGTGGGTCAAGGCTTTCGGGTTGTATGTCCATTTCTCCATGTTCCCGCAGAATGTCTCGGACGGCGACAAGATTCCGATACACAGCCGGAAGAGTGGGTTTATACATCCGCGTCAGTCGTGCGGGCAGTCTATTAGTTGATACGGCTAGATGGATCCGAGACGTGGTTAGTGTAAACTCTACACACGCAATCAAAGGACTTTGCTTCTACACATGAAAGGAACAAGCGAAGTTCGACAGCAGTGATCGGGGAATGGCCGTCTAGATAGAAGCGTGAGCGGGAACATCTCGCCTCCACCAGTCCCTCAAGCAGAACAGCATTTCGACTAGTCATGCCGATGCTGGGCTCCCCGGGATAATAGTGTACACGAGCCTATCTACCTAGTAGTCATATGAAACTAGCTCTGGCCTGACCGATATGTTGTCGGATATGTCTGGCACATCTGCCCACCGGGTCAACTCAGCTTTGGTCGGTTTCCTTGAGTTTTTGATCCAACCTTGTGAAACGAGTTCGTCAACAGTTGGTCTTGATGCCGGATCTAAATCCAACATCCGCCCAAGCATTGGGCGGACGTGCCTGGGAAGCAATTCTAGTACATTGGCCGGCCCTCGCATCGATTTGCTGTCGATTGGCAGATCCGGCAAGTCGCCAATACTCCTCAAGCCTGATGTGGGTTTAAACTCCGCATCATCACGACAAAACATGCGGAAAGAGGTGTCCCACAATCTGGCCTTCTCCCAGGGGAATTGGCCAGTGGATATGCGGATGTACAGGATGGCAAGTGCCCAGACGTCTGCCGCAGCCGGGCTATATGGTGTGTTTTTGAGAATCTCGGGAGCGAGATATGGTAGGGTGCCATGGATTCCTGTTTTAGAGTATTAGCATCCTGGTTGAATGGTCTCACTGCCTTTCGGCATATCGCATACCTACCCTGGGCGAGGTTCGGGACACCTCCGGCGCCGAGTATTGGATGCGCGCTCCCAAAATCAAATATTTTTACCGCGCCCGCAGCACTAATCCCTATATTTTCGACCTTGATATCCATGTGGGCAATCTCAAGGGAATGCATATGCGCGATTCCTTGCACAATGTGACTGAAAATGGAGTCGATGATATCCCAGGAAGCATTTTCCGTGACTTCCAAAAGTCTGTCCAACCGCACTGCAAGAGGCTCCATTACCTGATGCCATGCCTCGTGCTCGTCTTGGTAGATGTCATAGGTCTCTACTATGTTGGGGTGCCAGAGGGAAGATGCAGTTCTGTACTCGTTTTGTATAAAGGCAAGGTAGGCTTCTTCGCTCTCGTCTTCGTGACGGAGGCCGTGTGTCTTGACTACCACAATCTGGCCTGAGGCGGTATCGGAGAGCTTTCTCGCCACGCCAGATGTGCCTTCTCCTAGATGTTTGGTGGAGAATATCGGTGAAGGGCAGTGGCATTCGCGAGATGGGCCTTCGAAGACCCTGGGGATCCGGGTGTTGCATGCCCACGGCTCCACCTTGGAAGGCTTGTGTATGAGAATTGATGTTGCGATTGTTGCGAAACACAAGAGGCGATGAGAAATTCGCATCAGAGAGGACACTGTGAGTATCAAAAGTGAAAAGGATAGTGTTGATCGCGTCCGTAGATGATTGACTTGAAAGGCTACTGACGACTGTCTGGGGACATCGCTCTCGTGCTCAAACACAGGAGTGGATGTCTGGTTATTGACAAGCACATCTTTCCTTAACAGCCCTACTTATACAGTACTAGTTTCCTAGTAGTTCAAGATTCTACATTCACCTTCGAAATCCCTGCTCCCCTGTTGATGGACCTCACTCGGGCTTCTGCGCTGTACAGATATCGGCACTCGTTTCATTTGATGAGATGTAAGATCTCTCCACTTTTGACAGGAGAGGCACCAAAGGATCAGATCTGATTGAGAAAGAATACTTCTAAACGCTAAGATGCAGCGCCCATTGAAATCTCCCACCCCACTTTCGAAGGCAAATCCAAATCGCTTTTCTCTGCTCAATTCTATTGCTGGTCGGTAATGCCAAAAGTGGGAAGGGGATTTTTCAATAGGCATTCCCTCGTATTTACACGAGTAAGACGGAGGCAAGGTGTTAGGAAGAGGTCCACAGTCCCTTAGCGATCGCCTAAAGACTAGAACCCTCACAATTTATGCCCAGCATTTGAGCCTCTTGGCTTCTATGTTTGCCATAGTTTATGAAACAAGGCTGGAACTCCGGGGGCGGAAGCAAGAAGTAATATTACCGCATTCAGTAATAAGTAGGTGGCTACCGTAGGGTCTGGCTGCTAAAGGATCCGCTCGCGAAGTCTCGGCTCAAGGGCAGCGCCCCGAACGATCGGGACGGAGGCTCGCCCAAAAAGTTGCCCCTGATTGGCAATGCTAGTGTTCAGACCTCTTTTCTATATTGACTCGGTATTGACGTAGAGAGTGAATTGAACTATCCTACCGAAATGCGACATGAATAGTTTTCTGAAGTCCATTGCCGATCCACCGTCATCATTCATCACCGTCCAGCTGTTTTTTATCATATCCGAAGATTCTTTGACCGAATAGTACCTCTCTGTGCTGAGTCTATTGGGAGCGCCATCAGCATCGGGGCTGAAAGCTTGAAATCATGACGAATTGAACTCAGCCATGAGTCGAATGGATGCCCAGCCTCTACAGTCTACTGCTGACTTTCTTGCTTTGTCATATCTCCACAATGCGCTGCAGTAAATGGTGGCTGCCTCTTAGAGCCATCGGCGGACCATTAGCCAAATTGGTCGAATAATACAGTGAAAAGGACCGCCTCCGGGGATGAAAACGACCAGTCGATGCCTTATTGATCGGATCGTTCCTGCGACAGCTCCACCAGTGCTCGGTGCCCGTAGAGAGTAGCTTATGTGTATAGTTTCCAAGGCGGAATCGATTCGCCGTGCATCGCTTCCAATGCTCCGATCGATGTGTGTTGCCCAACCATTTCTCAATATTCCGCAGCGCCATAGCTTTGTAATTCCGGTGTTGATTGATGGCTTGCTAGGATGTGTTTATTCTAAAGAGAGACGGCGAAATATACCATAGCCTGCCCGTCTGGCACCAGTAAATTGCATGACTTTCCATGCCTGATGGCCCCGTACTCGCAAATCACCGGCATAATCTATCTGGTTCGGGACCATCCGTCAGCCTGTCCGTTGCCTAGGAGTGAATACCCCTTGATCTCGGAGAAGATCTTCAAAAGATCCTTAGCTTTGATGAGTTTCTCATGAGATGGATCAAGTATTACTGACGATTTGGTCATTAGGTATGAAAACCGAGAAGCGCCTCCTCAGTAGCGCTCACGCTCCCTATGTTGGTGCTTACCGGAGCAATCGTCAAAGGCAGCTTCACTCGTGCTATCGTTATGGGTCCCAGGTAATCTAAACGGGGAATGTCTCAGCTCTGATTCTGCGGATGCAGGATCCACGGAAATTCTGGGCTCTACGTCCATGCACGACACAACTGGCTTGGAGATAGAAGACGTCCGGGAAGAAATATATATGCCACCCTCCCTCACTCTTCTTTTGCTGTACCTCACCAACGCGATCCAAGCAAGTCCAAAAGAAGTACCTTGTTTCCCAGTTCAAATAACAACTATTAGCAACCGACAATGAAGATTTCCGTGCTGTCCACCATCTTCGTCTTTACGGCTTTGACCGTCGGAGTCGCCATCCCAAACCCTGAGGCAGCTCTTGAAGACAGATGCACTCATTCCCATCAAGTTGGAGGCGGCCGTGCTACGTATATGCTTTACTCAACTATCTCGGGCTTTAGCTAATGCTTTACAGATGCTTCAAGAAGCGTTCCCCTGCCCCTGAACCTATCCCTGAGCCAGCTCCAGAGCCTGTTGCGGAACCTCACGCGGCTCTCGAAGATAGATGCACTCATTCCCACCAGGTTGGCGGTGGCCGTGCTACGTACGCGCTTTTCTTCAGCTATGTCTAGCTTTAGCTAATCCTGGGTCTTACAGATGCTTCAAGAAGCGTACCCCAGCCACTGAGTCTACCTGAGAACAGTAGGCGAGCTCACCCCATTATACGGAAACGCATGGACCTACTAAGAGTGTTCTCGCGAGAGGTTGAGGGAGGAGTGTGTAGAAGTATTTCTGAGTGTCAAACGGCGCTCGCTTCAAGTAGTGTTCGAGCACAATTTGAGTGTCCTTGCAAGTGCGGAGTTCCTGTGCATCCCGTTACAGTTGGTTGATACTGGTCTGAAGGAGTGCTGATGCTTCTTGCCTTACACCGAGCCCCAATATTTCGATTGGAATAGCTGCTGAGGTAGCACCATTGCCCACCGGCACTAAGTTAGGCTACCTGATAGCGAACTACCTATATACTGAACTACGCGACACCAATCGCATGTACGGTAGTCCTACGTCGTTTACTCGCTAACGAAGCCGTTCAGAAGCCGGAAATGGGCTTTGATGAGGTGGAAATCATCCTGTAAGTATCGTGGTATTTACTGCCAATTCTTCCCACCGCGTTCTATAGCTCATTACTCCTGGGCTGAGTGCACTTCTCTGCCGGCGGATCTTCTTCACTCATAGGGTTCCCCTCCGCCCTGGATCTGCCGGTAGGGGTGCCATTTGTTCATAGTCGATGCCATTCCCCACATTCAGCGCCCACAGAAATCTAGTCGTACAATTATACGCACAGCTACATAGCGTGATCTCCACAATCTCTCTGTCGCTGAACCCTTGCTGCCGAAGCCTTTCAAACACGGCGTCGGGCACCATGAGATCCTTGGTCATATAGTCCACATAGGCAATCACCGCCATGTGTTTCTCGGTGAAGCCGCTTCCGCTAGGCGGGGTGGCGTGTGCAGATTTGGGCTCGGCAGACAGGAGATAATCGATTGCTGGTGTCGAGATCTTGGTGTCCGTGGCGGCGAGGAGCAAGTCGTGGTGCGCGGTCCAGGCATACCAGCCGCGGTTCAGGGCCACTGTGCGTGCGATGGCGACCTGCCGGATGCTGGTCGGGAGGGAGTTTTTTGTGTCGCTGCGAACGGAGCCCAGGAAGGAGTTCCTAGGAGACGAACGAGGGTTAATAGGGATCCATTGAAGACGATCTTCTGAGATATGGGCCATAGGAAACAGGTGGGCCAAAAAAAGACGATCGCCAACATGGCGTTTGTTTTTTCTTCCTGGTAAAAGACAAACTGACCATCCATCCGCCATTTGTGGAGCAATCAGCAATGCCCGGTCCAGATCCAACAGCTGATTCCCAGGCCGCCTGGCCTTTACCCGCTCTACTATCTCTTTCTCCTTGGGGTCCGCCACGGAATCATCAGCAACTGGGTTGAGACGCATTCTGTAGGCCTCTGTTTGAGCTATATCATGGAAGGATTGATGGTGTTGAAACAGTGGGAGAAAGTAATTCTGAGGGGAAGCGCGCTGGCATCTTTGTATCTGTGCTCGGTACTGCAAACTATGCGGGGAATCCTTCTTTCTGGGAACGGCAGAATTCCTAGTTGAATGCCGTTCATCCCGCCGACGAGTACGACTCAGTTCTTAGAGTGTGGAGAACATGCCCCATCCGGGTCGATCTCAACTTCCCCAAGCCTCTATCGGGGTCCTGTCAGTCTTCTGGGTGCCATAATGATCGTTCGTAAAATATTAATTCTGCAGTCGAGCGGTAAGAATCAATCTTGTGGTCTCACTAACGCTCATCAATCATGTCCTGCCTTGACAGCTAGAGCCACACTTGTTGGTAGCTAGAGAGATGAAAGGCAATCCACAACCAGATCGGTATGGGCCCATTGGTACGCCATATCGCCGTGTCTTAAAATCTATCAGAACGGCAGAAATCAAATCTTCTAACTGCCAACGTACTGTTAAATACTAGAATCTAAAGATGCTTCTCATCTGAACGGAGGATCAGGGCATACGCCATCGCCTCTCCATTGTAAGCGAGCTGCTACACGAGCTCAGCGTCTCCATGACGATCCTATGTACACGCCCTAGTTGTCACATACCCTGGGCACCTGTACGCGTTATATTTTCCGCGGTCACCAAACCTCAAGGGTTTCCAAACATCTCAATTCCGCGTGTTCCATGCACTGACTCCTGCTGGCTCCTACTCCCCCCATATAGCTCTATAGCCCTGTTTCGAATTTGGCAAATACCTCTCGACAGACCGGAACGAACCGAGACTCGAGCAGGTAGCTTGTATATGAATTCCGCGAGTGACAGGATGGTTCTGCAAGCTACTCCTCGTTGATAACCCAAGGCTTGTGTCACTTTCTCTTGGACTTTTGTGCCTGAGATATTGTCCTGCGAGGGAATATCAACAAGCACCAGTACAAGACCCACCAGTCGCAGCAATGGGTGACCAGGCGTTCGATGCATTTGCCGCCTCGGACAGATTCAGACAGCACCAATACGACATCTATACCAATGGCATGCTTCGTGGTCGATTGCCGCTTGTCACATGCGATCCAAACCAGCTCGAAGAACAGGCCCGAAAGGCCATGCAGAGCAAGGCGTTCAATTTCCTATACGGAGGAGCTGGCGAACACGCGACCATGGATGCGAACAGGCTGGCATTTCGGCAGTGGAAGGTGAGAGATAGTTCAGACGTCTCCTGGCTCCCTTACTTTGGATGTTCCTTGTGCTGATGCCAGATGGGCTTCTTTTTTGGCCGCTTAGTTGATCCCTCGGATGCTGGTCCCTGCGACACGGAGGGATCTGAGCACGACCGTCTTCGGCAAAAAGTACAAGACTCCCGTGCTGCTCGCTCCGGTGGGTGCCCACAGCGTTTTCCACGAGGATGGAGAAATCGGGGTTGCGGAGGTCGCTGCGGATCTTGAAATTCCCTATATCCACAGCACGGCGGCCACGAGCAGCATCGAAGACGCGGCAAAGGCCAATAAGAGTGGGCCGCGGTGGTTCCAGCTCTACTGGCCTCATAACAAGGACATTACCATTTCCCTGTTGAACAGAGCAGCCAAGAACGGATATACTGTTCTCGTCGTCACGGTAGACACGTGGGCTCTGGGATGGCGCCCGGCTAATCTGGACGAGGGCTTTGTCCCCTTCATCAAGGGCCGCGGCAACCAGACCGGCTTCTCCGACCCGGTCTTCAGAGCCCAATTTCGCCAGAAATCCGGCGTCGACGTCGAGGCCGACGTCATGGCCGCCGCACGGGAGTGGAATTCCGACATCTTCTCGGGCCGCGCGCACAGCTGGGACGAGCTCCAGGAGATACGCGAGCACTGGAAGGGCCCCGTCGTCCTCAAGGGCATCCAGCATGTCGAGGACGCCAGAATCGCCGCGGAGATGGGAATCGACGGGATCGTCGTCAGTAATCACGGTGGACGGCAAGTCGACGGTGCGGTCGCCACGCTGGATGTGCTCCCGGAGATCGTGGAAGCCGTGGGCGATCGACTCACCGTGCTGTTCGACAGCGGTGTGCGGACGGGTGCCGACATCCTCAAGGCTCTCTGTCTCGGGGCCAAGGGCGTCTTGATCGGTCGACCGTGGGTCTACGGACTTGGAATTGCCGGAAAGGCTGGCGCGCGCGAGGTCCTGATGGGACTTCTGGGAGTAAGTATTCTTAGTGCTGTTCTCGACTTTCTGATCATGGGCAAGTCCATGCTGACAACCCGTTGCAGGACTTCGATGTCACCATGGGTCTGGTAGGCCTACGATCGGTATCAGAGTGCAGTCCGAAGATTATGAAGAGAACGTCCTACGGAGGAGATCGTCACTCGTCCAACTAGGGCAGAGCGATGGAAATAGGTGTCTTTGGTGTCCTAGCGACACTCATAATGACCACTTTCTACGGTGGCTCGAGCATTGCAAGGACCTACCCAAACAGTGTAGCTGGGAGATTTCAACCAAAAGCACAATAATCCTAGAACGCTTAAAATTGGGAGGTTGGCGCTGACTTCATGCCTGATCCTATTGAGGCCTGGAGGCAATATTGACAGGCTGTGAAAAGGGATACATTTGATCCTATGCGTACTGTCGACGGCGTCTCAGGATTATTGGCACGATCATGTAATGTCCCAACGACGTCTTTCATGTATTGGACACTCGGAATATCTCTCCAGTACCCACCACCTCTTCGAGTCTTGTTCAGGGGAGACGTAAAACTAATTATGGTACTACACTTATGCTCCCATCTGTGTCAGCCTCGCGCGATTCCATTCCCCTGCCGTGTAGAGCTTGTTGTCGCCAAATTTGCCCGCCACCTTGATGACCTGGTCCGCCTCGAAGCCCTTCAACGGGGTCATGAGCACATCGTCACACGGCCGGACAAAGTACACGACGCTGTACCGGTCCACGGTGGCTTGCCGGCCAGGCGACGGCACGACGCGGTGCTTGGCCGACTTGACCGCCCCGTTGGTGAACTTGACCATGCAGTCGCCCAGGTTGATGATGGCATGGCCGGGCAGCGGCTTGACATAGAGCCAGTCGCCCTCGGTCTCCTTGGCCCGGCTCTGGATCTGCAGCCCGCCCAGCCAGTTGAACAGCACCGTCACGGCCCCGAAGTCCGTGTGTGACGACAGCCCGATGCGCTTCTGGGCGACCTCCACCGGGACCGTCCTGGTCAGCCGCACGTGGTCGCCGGACGGGTGCTCGAAGTCGCATGTCTCGGCGAACAGCGCCGGGTCCGCCCCCAAGGCGCGGGCGAGCGTCCGCAGGATGGCCATGCCACAGCCATGTGCGCCGGCCGTGAAGTCGGCCAGGATCGGCTTGCCCTCTAGGATCGGTGCCGGGTAGGGTCGTGGCTCGGTGAAGCCGTGGATGTGGTCCTTTGCGACCTACGGACGACGCCTAGATTAGCGAGCGTAACTCAAAGGAGGCCTATTTCAATGGACGCCACTACCCCCTTCCTGTCCTCTCTGAAGAGCAGGGAAACCACCTACATTGAAGAACTCGGTCGAGTCACGGACGGCACTTGTATCGGTCTTCTTGACCGACCCCATGGGTTTGTACCCAAAGATCGACGTGCCCTTTTCATTCGCGAAAACCGCCTTCTCTTCCTGCGCGAGGGCGAAGGCGCGTTTCGCCAGGGCCAGGCACTCTGAGCTCAACTCCAGGAGATGCCTGCCTGACTCCGTGGTCGTCAGGTCGAGATAGAAGAACCCATCCATTTGGCATGCTTTCAGCGTCTTCGCGATCTCCTCCTCGTCTAGGGCGAGGATCTTCTGGTACGAGATCTTGGCGATGGGGATCGTGAGAACGTCTTCTGGGAAAGGAGGGAGGCTCTCTGCTCCATTTGTTGCTACGTCGGCTTTCATTTTGATTTTGATTTAGAATTCAAGGAGAAGAATATGAGAATGTTTTGGCTTATATTGGCCAACAAGATCTTTTTTGGGGGTCTTGTCCTTGCAAAAAATGGGTGAGATACGCGTACTAGTGCTGCGAGTATGTTCAAACGAGCGCAGCCTTCCTAAGCAGCCCTAGTATATCAAGTCTTCTCCAACGAACCTACCACTCAAGGCAACACGTTACTGCTGTTATCGCTCTCGGAGACTTCCGAAGTATCCACGACCACAAGGACCTAGACCGTCAATAAAGAAGAAAGATTTGAGACCTCTCTTGCCAGGCCATCCGATCAGACTAATAGTGTGGGTAGGGTCATGACTGCAATTGCGCAGCCCGACCTGTCACGAGGGCGGAACTGCTGCCGTCCTCAGATCTGCGAATACTGGAAGTAGAGCCCAGACCGGCCAGAAGAAAGACAGCGTCTCGCAACGTTCCGACAATTAAAGCGCAGATCCTCTTTTATACTCTGCTGACACTGCGAAGGAGAGTGGCCGTTCATCAAGGCACAAAAGGAGGGGGAACTGCATAATGCGGGGGATCGTTGCGGGATGTGCTTAGTGGAGGTAAGAGCGGGCATTGCCCGCGCGGTGAAGCTCGTATAGCAAGAAAGTAGACGACAGGGCCATAGAGGCGATGGCCGCTCTTTGACACCGAGTAGCAAGTCACTGGCCAATATAGGAGCATTCGAATTGCTTGCGTGGGCGTGGAATTTGAGTTCTGGAAATTTCACTGACTTGCCCAATCATTGATCGACAAGCCAATATTTGCTTAGCTGTTGAAGCCAGGCATTGGACTCATGCAAGAGACGCCGTCGTTTTCTGCGCATAGATCGGTGGTGTTCTGGGTCCACGTCGTTGGAAGCAGGATTCATTTCTGTTCTCGAACTGGGAAGCGTGCTGGTGAAGGAACAAAAGAAACTCCAAGAGATAGATCCATGTCCCTGCACAGAGAAGAGGGAATACCTTTAAGAGAGTAGGTCGCAGGTAACCCTCGGATTGGGATACGAGTTAGAGGGCTCTGAAGGCCGTCAGAAGGAAATCTTGGAGGTTGTAGCAGATAATGTCGCCTCTCTAGAGACGCGTCCAATCAAGATCGAGAGAGCCTCGAGCGGGCGCGAGCCAATAACATGCCACTTTGGGGACTCCACGGTGATCATAAGGCGGACGAGCGGTTTATTGGGAATTTGGGGCGAGAAGAAAGAAAAGAATGTGTCGTACGGGTATATAGGCAGATATATAGAGAGGCAATGGTTCTGGTAAGATTTGGGTTGAAATGTCCATTGACCGTTTGATGTTTTGGAGTTACATCCCTTGGTAAAGCGCAGTTACTATTCTTTCTCTCTTCCACACCCTCCCCCCCAGTCTCCTGAACGCACTCGGCATCTTCAAGAGCTTGAAAAATGACCGCCACAGGCCGAAACGACGCAATCAACCTCGTCAACGTTTTCACGTCGGACAGTGGAGGCGGAAACCTTGCGCCCATCGTTCTCCGCGCCGAGGGCCTGACCGACGAGGAGATGCGCGGCGTGGCGCGGAGGCACGATAGGGAAAGCTCCTTCGTGCTGCAGCCTCCACGAACAAAGGAGGGTGCGGACGTAGATTTCCAGCTGCGCTTCTTTGTGCCGGAGCACGAGATGGAGATGTGCGGCCACGCGACCGTGGGCACCGCCTGGGCCATGCACGAGCTGGGAATCTCGCAGAAGCCGGAACTTAGGTTCATGACCAAATCTGGCCTCGTGCGCACCATCCGCCGCGTGGAGCAGGGTGACGGGCACACCGCGCAGGTAAAGGTGTTTGTCTCGCAGCCCAGGGGGACGGTTGAGGACGTCGTGGATTCGACATTGCTCGCGGACATTCTCTCCGTGCTGCGCATAACTGAGGCGCAGCTCGAGCAGAAGACACCGCGATCGGTCCAGAACGCTTGCACGAGCCGGGTCAAGACGGCGATCGCTCTGCGCGATGCAGATGTGCTGAATAATCTACAGCCTGATTTCTCGCGCGTCAAGGATCTGTGCGAGAGGTTGGGGTCTACAGGCTTGTATCCCTACGCGATGGTACAAGGAGGCAATGGCAACGGCCCCAGCGGCCGAAATGTTGTCCAGGTCGAGGCACGGCAGTTTCCCAAAGCCTCAGGGTACCCCGAAGACGCGGCTACGGGCATCGCGGCAGCGGCGTTGTCTTATGCTCTCGCGGCGAATGGCGTGCTAAGCGTGGGACAAGAGGCGGTGGTGTATCAGGGACGAGCGATGGGCTATCCGTCGCAGATCAACGTGCTGCTGGAGGAGGACGGGTGTTGGGTAGGCGGGACCTGTGCATGGGAGAACCAGTCCAAATGAGGTGCGGAAAGCCCAGGATGTGAGGATTGCCTAGTGCAGCCGTGTCCCGGAAGGGACTCAGTCATATCATGCACTTGCCCTTCAAGAGAGAGCATTCCCGGCCTGGTTCCTGGGAGCTTTTGCTGACTATTTGAGGGAAGTACCACTGCCATAGCGGAATCGTTCCATCTGCCAGTCAATCCCCGATTCAGTCTCGTTTTCTCCCAGAGGCGTAATCGCCCTCAATATATCGACCTCGAGCGCATTCCATTGGTCATCGAGAACCTTGTACTGGCCTGAAAAGTGGTGGATGTTGGTGCTCAGAGTGCCGTAGAGATTCGTGCCCACGTTCTCGATCTGCTTCAATTTGGGGTACTTTTTCAGGACGGGAGCCAGAGGATGGCCCATCTCTCCTCGTTCAAGCTGCCTCTGCGCCTCCTTCAAGGCAGATTGGAAGAAAGCATTCCACCCGGCCGTTGCACTCGTCCCTGGCTTTGCGTCGCGCGGAGGTAGCATTTCCAGAAGATGGCGAAAGGCCAGGTTCGTAATTATTCGCTGCTGCGAGCGATTCGCGCTTCGGAGGTCGTCGATCTCCTTTCGTAGTTCGGCTTCTCGGGCTGCGGAGTCGGTGGAGAACAGGTGGTTTCTGAGTGAGTATATGTCTTCCGAAGGGCTGCGCGTGACAGCAGGACATCCAGCCTCGAGGCAAAACTCTGCGACCTTGGTAGAAAATGTCTGGTAAATAGGGTTCTTGTTGAAATCGGAGTAGCTCTGCACCAGCTGCCACCACAGCGAACTGAGTCCGTGGGCTGAAATGGGAACATCATGGAGCAGAGACTTGACTGCATCCGACGGGTCGGCGGGCCTGACAATTGGTGTCTTGTTCTCTACCCGCCTCCTAAACCCTTCGAGCCAGGCCTTGAAGACGGACGTGATCAGCCAATTCGCCAGTATGACATCCAGCCGAAGCAGGAGTCGAGTGCACAGATTTGGCAAAACGGCTAGAGCACGTCCGGCTGGAGCAAGATCCCCGTTCTCTACCGTGAAGCCGACCAGCCATGGAGCAGCTCTCAACAGGCTTTCGTAGCACTCTGGTTCCCAGTACTCCCATGTTGTGGCGGCCAATTCACGTATGCAAGACTCGGCGTCCGACTGCAGACGTGAGTTGCGGTGGGTCTCGAGGTACTTCCGCAGATCGAGAGGTGTCGTGTCGAAGCGTAGCTGTGTCCAATCTGTCGACGGTGTGGTTGATGGGCCACTTTCACCCATGTTGGTGCGAAGAGAGTAGCTTCGTATTTGTTATTCGTGTCAGTTTTTGAGGTTGCGGGAGGCGTACATGCAGGCGCCGGACCGGTTGTTGCTTTCCCAAAACTTGTGGTACAAGTTAAGAGCAGTTCCAGCTGCTGCAATTAACGAGCAGTCAAACTGGGCAGGTCAGAAGTTGTCCGACAGCCTACGGAATGACGGGATAGGATCCTATTATACCTACATATGTTCAGCAAAGCTAGCAGGTTGGCACGGTTATCTTGTGAACCAGGGGCTCCCTTGCTCACTGTCAGGTACGAGTACGATTGCCCACTAATAAACCGGGCAGACTATACGGAGTAAAAGGGGGAAATTTGGAGCAGGCAGGGCTGAGGCGGAAATTGATGTCGTGAGTCGCGGTCGGCCCGGTTCTTGCCGCCTTAGATGCCCCCGGCCGGTTTTTCCCAGACTAGTCCGCTTCTAGGTAGGTCACTCTGTGGCCGCTTTTACACTCTCTGCATGCTTTCCCCCGTATATCAGATCGTCGGCAGAATGGCTTCAACGACAAGTATCTACCAAAGCGTAGATATCCCTCGGTGCTGTTGAGTGCTCAGCATATTTGGACAGTGGTTTGTGCCCCTTTCAAGGTCCTTTGTTGGTTACCAAATGGAGACTCATTTCTTTGTCCTCTTTCTCTTGGTCCCGACTCGCTGAGCCTCATCACTCTCTTCTTCCTCCACTCCCTGAGCAGCCTCCTTCTTTGCAGTCTTTCGTGCGCCCTGCGTCGTTCCTGTCTCGGAATCGGCCCAGGTTTTCCCAAGCACCCTGCCCGTCTCGCCGTCCCAGCGCACCTCCATCTCTCTGCAGTCTGGATCCCTCTCCCGCAACCACTCCGCTGCCACCCGACCGCATTCTTTCCCCAGCCTCTCTGTCCCTTCCTTCAGCTTCTTTCCTCCACGGATATTCATGCCGTGATCCGCGCCCTTTACGACCATTCTCCATGTCCTCGCCTTCATCTTCTCCCTAACAGCCTGGAGTCTCTCGAGTGGGCACATGTTGTCGTTGTCCCCAGAAATGAAGAGCACGTCCACATCTTCTTGGACATCCAGGAGAATCTTGTCCCGTATGTCGCCGCTCGGTCCCACGAGGGGATATGAGGCCAGCACCAATGCTCTGACCTCGCTGTCCGTGTGGGATGCGATAACGGCAGCGCGCGCGCCCATGCTTCGACCACCGTAGGCCAGAGGGGCATTCTGCGCCTCGATCTTTCTCTTCTTCCCCGCAGCGTCACCTTGTCCCATTGCACCTCCGGATCCTTTGCCCTTGGGGCCGTCACTTGAAGGATCGTCGCCGCCGCCTCCAGGCCCCGCGAGTGATCCGTTCTCCACCTCGTATGCTCTGACAACCCCAAACAGTCCCGCCCTGGCCTTTACGTTCATGTTTCCCGGGAACATGACGATGGCGGATCCCGTCGATGCGAATCCTTGTGAGAAATTCACCATGGCGGCGGCTGAGAGGTCCCCTCCCGCGCCGTGAGTAAATATCAGTGAAGTAGAGTGAGGGGCTCGGTGACTTCGCAGACATGATGTTTCTTTGCTTGATTTCCCCGACTTGCCGGGAGCGGCGCTGGAGATTGTGAATGGCGCGAATTTGATGGTGGAAGAGCCTAGGTTGAGGCTGGGGGGAAGAGTGGCGGTCGTGGTAGATTTTTCAGGCCGCTCTGTAGTAGATGCATTCTCCTTAGAAGACATATCGACGTCCTCACCACCTTCGACTTGCGGCTTTGCTTCCGGCACCTCGGATTTGAGATTTGCGCCTTCGTTTGCAGCGGACGCCGTGGCTCTTCGCGTGGATCGGGGTGCCATTTCGCGCTCAAGGCTGGTGGATGCACGTCGTTGATGTAGATAGACCAGCTACAAAAGCTACAAACACACGGCGTTTGCAGTCCTTAACTTTGATCCACATTAATGAGAGCACTTTCTCCCCAACTTAGGTTCGCGCCACTCTGTGAGTAGGTACTGGTACAAGCAGACGTAGACAACATTGAAAAGGCAGAGGTGGCTGGGGACGTGAAAACAAGCTTGTTTCGTATTCGGATCCTGCATCCCGCCCTCCCTCGCTCACTCTCCCGGCCCTTTCATCAGTACTGCCTTCCATTATGATTTCATCAACCAGGCACCGTTTAAGCAGACGAGGCTGTGATACCCGGTGAATGATCCAATCCGACCACTCCACCATTCGGTGGAGAAGTCCGATCTCGTTCGCCACACGCATGTCGACTGCACCATGTGAAATACAGTTCATTTTATCAGCCAAGTGCTGGGATGGACTCGATACGAGTGTCGATGGCGTGATACAGCCACAAGGCCTGAAGGCATCGGAGATAGACCGGCCCGCGCAGATCCGACGGATCTTAGAACTTGATTGTTGTTTGTTTCGATTTTGGTGTCTTGGGTATCGGTCAGTCATAGGGGAGTGCCTTTTTCGCAATGGGCGACGCAGGGCCAGCGTGGCCAGTGTCGCGGATCGCCATCATAGGAGCAGGCCCAGTGGGAGTCTCGTGCGCCAAATATCTGCTTGCTGAAAAGGCGTTTGCGACCATCGACATCTACGAACAGCGCGGTCGCGTCGGGGGCATCTGGAATCTCTCCCTGCCAGACCGGTCGAAGCGAATTCCCATCCCGCAAGTCAATCCGCGCTATGGCCAACAATCACCGCCAGAACATCGAAATCAAGGCGGTGGTAAGGGGACAGGCGACGCTCCAGAACCCTCGGACTCTCTGGAATTTGAATCGCCGCTCTACGACTATCTCGAAACAAACATCCCCAAGCAACTCATGGCATTCTCTGACAAGCCCTTTCCGGAAGAAGAGCCTTTGTTCCCCAGCCACGAGGCTGTGCTGAGGTATCTGGACGACTATGCGGATGAGGTTAGAGGGTTGATTCGATTTAATACGGCAGTTCAAGATGTGCGGCCCATTGAAGGTCGCGAGAACGGCCGCGAAAAATGGGATTTGACAGCGCAGGATCTTACCACCAGAGAAGTGGTTAGAAATGTCTACGACGCAGTGGTGGTGGCGAATGGCCACTATACCGTGCCTTATGTGCCGGATATCAGAGGCGTTGCGGATTGGAATTCGGCGTACCCTGGAACCATCATCCACTCAAAGGCCTATCGAAGACCAGAGAATTACAGGGACAAGAAGGTCGTTGTGATTGGGAACTCGGCTTCGGGCTTGGACATTGCCGCACAGATTGGAAAGTATTGCCGAAAGCCGGTTCTGCTTTCGTCGAGATCAGTGTCGGCTTTCGGGGTATTGCCAGGTGGAGGATATCGGGAAGATGTTGATGAAATTGTCGAGTTTCTGTCACCCGAGCATGAGATGTTCAGAGCAGTGAGATTTAAGAGCGGACGGGTCGAGAAGGACATCGATGCCGTTGTATTTGCGACCGGATACTTCTACTCATACCCATTCCTCTCCAGTGTGTTGCCGCCTTTGGTCACGGACGGCTTCCGCGCAAGAGGCACATACCAGCACCTATTCAGCATCAACCATCTGACCCTGGCCTTTCCGGTCATCAATCTGAAGGTCATTCCTTTCCCGCTGTCCCAGAATCAGGCCGCAGTGGTGGCTCGCGTATGGAGCGGCCGACTTGACTTGCCTTCAACAGCAGAGATGCGAAACTGGGAGCAAGGGACGGTGGACCGTAAAGGGGATGGCAAATACTTCCATGTCCAGAAGTTTCCGGAAGATGCAGCGCAGATCAACCAGCTCTATGCATGGGCGCTGCAAGCGAAAAAGAAGGATGGCCTCGGCAACGATGGCGCAGGGAAGCTGGGGACGAGATGGGATCAGAGACAAGTCTGGATGAGGTCTAGATTCCCTGACATCAAGGCCGCATACACAGAGAGAGGCGAGGCTCGAACCCGAGTGAAGATAATCGAGGAGCTAGGGTTTGATTTCGCCAAGTGGCGTGAGCAGGCTGAGGGTAAAGACTTGGAGATGTTTGAACGAGCTGGTTGTTGACGAGGAGGGGGACGGAGACTCGGTGTCTATGAGAGACTCGGTCGATTGCTTGCTGAGAGGCGGCACCTTCTACTGCAAGAACAACCCTCCGCTCTTCTCGTACATCTTCCTCCCACGGTAGATTTGGATAGAATTGAGATACAGAATCCCTTCACCAGCATGCGCCCATTGGCTCGGCTAAGTTGCCCCCGGCGTAGCCCCTCTAGCGGCCTCCACCTGCGAGTCCTGGTCCCCGTTTCCCGAACATCCATAAACAATCTTCCGCACTGAGTCGTGAACGCCAGCACCATCCATACGCATAGTTATCTGCCTTCTCAAGCTCACTATGGTCCTCGAGTCGACCGTGAACTCTTTCAGCCAGAGGTCCCACGCCCACAGCGTATAATGAAGAATCGAGGCCGCAAAGCAAATTCGCAATCCCGCAAGCGCAAGAGGCCTCGGTCCCCTGTGGAAGAAGAAGACTCGAGATACTGGTCTGTCGTGACATTGCTGGATCACCGCTCCAACCCCAAGACACACGATCAGGAATTCCTGGTGCAGTGGGACAGAGATCCCGATACAGGCGAGGACTGGCCTCCATCGTGGGTATGTGAAATGCAGCATCTTTCACAGCGTTCGGCTAACCAGGAGTACAGCAGCCCGAACACGCAGTTACGAAAGATCTTGTCGAAGATTATTGGAAGGAGAACAAGAAGAAGGAGGCAAAGAGCAACGACCCCGAGAGCCAAAACGTCGCAGAGAGCAAAGGCCCCGCGAAGGGCAAAAGCACCGCAAAGAGCAAGACGAACACACGGCTCACAGCGAGCAACCCTCGAGCCATTTTACGGCGGGGACTGAGGAGCAGTAAAGATAGTGAACAGTCTGTGAATCGGTCGCAAAGACAAACCAGCACGCCTCACACGCTTTCGAGCTCGTCGAGCAAACCCGAGTCTCAGCCGGGACAAGCAGAAACTGTCGCCCGGCCTCTTTCGAGTGCAGAGGCTTCTCCTTTGCCTTCTCCAGCTCCCGACCAAAACCAAGCCGTTGTGGATTCTACCCCGCCAGGTGTAAGGAAGTTCTTAGCTCGCAGCGGCGCTATTGACTCTTCGGGGCTCTCCTCTCCTCCAGACTTAGAGCCTGATCCAGAGTTTGATCCAAAGTTTGATCCAGAGCTTGGCCCCGAGCCTGATTCCGAGCCTGATCATTCCGAGCCTGATCATCCCGAGCCAGATTATCTCGAGCCAGATTATTCAGAGGTATATCCCGAGTCAGAAGGATCCGAGTACAACCCCCAGTCCGGGTCAGAATACGGGTCAGAAGCAAGTACAGATTCGAAGCCAGAAGTAAGGCCTAAAGTAAAGCCTAAAGCAAAGCCTAAAGCAAAGCCAGCTTCTGGTCCAGCATTAGAACAGGCAGCAGAATTGGAAGCAGAGCCGGAAGGAGAGCTAGAGGCAAGCCCAGCATCAGAATTCGAGTTATCGACTTTGGCGGAATCTGAGGTATCCACTCTGCCGGGATCTGACTTATCCGCTCGGCAAGAATCAATCCCAGAGACAGTACCAAGAACACTAAGAACACGCGGCAGGTCGTACAGCAATAAGGTAACTGAGCTTTACGCATATACATCGCACGAGTTTTCTGGCTACTCAAGGGCCTCATCATTTAGCTTCAGTCGTCCATCACTACAAGGCTCCGGACGAGAGCGTCGGCGTGGGGGAGAGCCAGATCACAAGAACGAGCCAAGGTTTTCTGCAGAGCAGACTGAGGAGGCGCACACGGAAGCTAGTGCTGCATCTTCGCCGCGGTCGAGTCAACGGCGAGTGTCCACAGAGCCTCCTACTGCTGCGAGTATCTTCGCTGAAGAAACAGGTGTCGAGTCTCCAAGACCATCTTCGATTGTGCAGCCTTTGGAGAGGCGGGCTTCCTCGCACGATTCCCTGTCGGAAGAAGGCAGAACTCCAGCCATAGAGATAGCCCGGCGTAACTTCAACCCTACGTATCGGCTACCATTTTTGGGGAAAAGTTTTCTTGTTTGGATTCCAATATTTGACTCGCATCCCCTTTCCGAGGAGATGAATCTTCCAACCGAGTCGGTTATCAACCCACTTGCGATGGAACCCTCTGGGTCTGGAATTGTTTGTGGCGGTGCTGCCGAAACGTCGCTATATGATAATGCCTTAGGGGGAAGTGCACTTCCAATTCAAGACTCCATCGAGGAAGAAGAACACACATCCAACGGTGAGCAGTTCTCGTCGGAATCCAAAGCGAGCTCGAGTCAGCAGTCTGTTGAAAACGAACGAGATGTGCCTCAAGTGGCTGGCTTGGTCCAGCCAAGTTTACCTATCCTCGGGCCCGCAGAATATGCGATATCGCTCCCTTGCGAGGGCAAGATACAGTCAACATACTCGGACATTATCAAAGCCAAGGAAAAAGCTATCAAGAAGTTTCTCAGCAGACACGAGTCTGTTGGTTCTTCAGACGGGTCTCCCACTCGAACTCAAGAAAGAAACGACATGAATGAATTGGTCCAGCATCTGCACGACACTGTCACACATATGGATCTCGGCCTGCCTGGGATGCCCACTCATTACCCGGGCGAGTCTCAGGAATACGCGGCTTATGCAAACTATGCCGGATCGAAATTCTCCTTTCTGGGGCACCTCGTTGATTTACTGAAAAGTATTGGGTGCTCGATCATTGTCATGGCTCGAGAAGGACCAATCCAGGACCTCATTGAGAACTACCTCAAGACGAAGCAGATCACCGTCAAGCGGCAAGATCGACTGGACCGCTCGAAGCCTGCAGTCCCAGATCGAATCAGTACGGATTTTCAGGTTGAACTGGTGAGCACCTGGTCGACGCATCCAGTAGCCATCTACAACAAGCCTATCCTGATGATCGCTTTCGATGCTTCTTTCGACTCTCAAGATCCTCAGGTTGCACGAATCCGCTCGCATTTTTCTGGAAGGCACCCTGCACTCATGCCGGTCCTTCACTTGCTGGTTGCAAACTCGTCTGAACACGTTGACCGCTGCCTGCCAAAATCGATGCCGTCCCCAATGAGGCTAAAAGCCCTAATCCGAGCTACTTATCAAGCTTGGCCGAACCTGGGAGGGAAGCCGATCTATTTACCACGTCCGACAGACGAGCCAGAGGGCAGACCTATGGATTCCTTCGACCTCCAGCGGGGAATTAGAAAGAGCGCGGAGCGGAAGCTTGGGAAGCTCGCCAGCATTGTGGTGCAGGCTGCGATCTCTCCGGACTTCGATGCGAATTGGAACCTGGGTCTAATGTCTGAGTTGCAATTGACAGAGTTAGAAGAGACGCCGACGAAACGCAGTGGCGTGAATACCAGGGCTGAGACGCCGAAAGAGGTTCTTACTCGATCTCGGACTCCTGTCTCACGTGCCGATACTCCATCGGGCAGAAAGCGCTTACTGGATGTCGACGGTTTCCTTCCTGCACTGCAAAAGCGACAACGGCTTACACCTCTTCGTGATTCGGCCGAGGCCAATAGCCGAATTGATACAACCAACCAGGTTGCACAACATCAGGACCATGTTAAGAAGCTAGTGGCAGAGGTGGAAATGGAAAGAGAGGCGCGACAAAAGGCAGAACAAGATCTACATCATTCACACGGACAGCTGGCACAATGGAAACAAGACCATGCGGGCGTACAACGCCGTTACGAGAAACGAAGGACGATGATTCGTGAACTAAAACAGCAACTAGAACAGCAAAAGGAGACACTCCAGAAAACCATTGAAACCCTTACAACAGAAAACAAAAAACTCAGAGAGGAAAATCTCGCTCAGAGGCAGAAGAATGCTGAGCTGGAGAAAGAACTTGCTGCCGCGCGTGCGGAGATCAAGGCGGGCGGCGGCGATGCGGCGGCCGCAGAGGCTGCTAGAGAAGAGTTACGCACTCTGCGTAGTAAGTATGCTGCTCAGGAAAAAACCCTCGGGAATACCCGCAAGGATTTTGAGTTTACCCGGATTCAATATCAGGACGCATCGGAGAAAGCGGCAGAGTATGCAAGGCAGATAAGGGGCTTTGAAGAACAAGTCGCACATCTGAAGAAGCAAGCCAGCATCGAGAGGCGACACCTGAAGGAAACCAACCACCAAAACAGCATCAAGGCACATCTCGCCAAGATTGCCGAGCAAGAACTGGAACACAACTCGCAGGAAAAGCTTATTCGAAAGCTGGAAGAGGAGAATCGGAACCTGAAGCGTAGTCGTGGATATCAGACTCGCGGGTCCAGTGTGCAACCACCAGGCAGCCCAGGGCTGGACGGACACAGTGGAAGAGGCACGAGAAGTCGGCAGGGAAGCCCGGCACCTGGGTTGTTCGCGAATTCGCATCATAACAGCGTGGCGAGCAGAGGCAGCTTATTGAGACACGAGCGGTAGAGTCGCAGAGATAATAGAGGTCGGGCCGGCGGAGGCGGACGCCGAGGAAGCAGGTTGAAGAAGCAGTGATTGAATCGCGCTGAGGTGTGAATAAGACATGGTTCTGACGGCGCGAGCTTCTGAGACGGGAGGAGGTTGATTGGGTAGGATGTCGGTAACGGTCTTGGAAGCTTTTGGGCGGAATTTACAGCCATTTTTGTCTGCAATTAATGTCTGACGCATCTATTCTCGTACCTCCAAGACCCGTACCGCAGTTGGAAGCTCTCGAAAGATGATTCGGTGTCATTGGACCGCGACCAGGGGATCGCTTCATGGCAAGGCTGTGCAAGGCTGAGATGTAGCCCCGATTAGGAAGGAGTTCCGAGATTCTGCTTGAAGGTTCTCGGGGTGTGTTCTACTTGGACCTTCACACTGTGAACTCAGTGCCTTGCTCTTTTGGCGCAGTTGATCTGCTGGAGCTTTTTCATAGCCCTATCCGCAAAACATCTAGTCTCGGAGACTCCGATAACTTGCTAGGCGTCGAGTTTACAGCGTATCCAACAGCCACTGCCTTCAAAAGCCACTCGACAATGAGGTTGAACGACCTCGACTTTACGTCGGCCCCGCTCAGGAACCTGGAGAGGACTCGCAGAGTCACAGGAACGAATAAAGGGGCCCTACTGCCACCAGAGTTTCCATTTCGGGGGTTTCATGGCTGCAAGGTGATTATGTATTCTTGTAAGTCCCTTTATCCGAACCCAAGAAAGATCCTTCTGTACCGATTCAAAAGAGACTGTTCTCTATTCTAACCCGATCCCTTCCTTCCAAGGCATTGCAAGCTGTCTTGGCATTTGGACGGCGTGGCACTGGAGCATGGGGACTCTGCCCTTCCAGACAGACGAACCCAGAACGCAGTCGCACAGTCCCATGCAGCGGAAAACGTTGGACAACTTGCTCAAGCACTTTACCGTCAAGCTGGACGACGGGAGGCAGCAAAGATGGTGGACGCTCGTCACCCCGGCGTTCAGCCACATCCAGACCTACCACATCGCGGGCAACTTGTTCGCCTTCTCCACCTTCTCGCGGATGTTGCTCGCCTACGGGATAGCCCCTGCCCGGTACGGGGCGTTGATCCTGGGCTCCGCCGTGGCGGGCAACTTGGCCTTTCTGCGCCAGGCGTCCCAGAGACGGCGGCGTGAGCAGCCCGGCGACAGCCGCGCCCTGCACATGAGGGCGCTGGGCCTGTCCGGCGTCGTCATGGGCCTGGGCGCCGCCGTGTCGCTGGCCACCCCGAAGTCCAGGGTCCTCCTCTTCGGCGCCGTCCCCGTCCCGGTCTGGCTGGTGATGCTGTTGTACACGGCCTACGACTCGGCGCGGCTCGACGACCAGGCCTCGACGGTCGGGCACGCCGCCCACCTTGGCGGCGCCGCCTTCGGGGCCGTTTACTATCTGGTCGCCCTGCGCAACCCGGCAGCCCTCCCGTTTGCCTGGCTTTTCAGGCTCTGAGTTTTTGGTTGCTGTAGGCAGGTTGGTCACCACCGAGGTTTGTGATGGAAGAGATTTCTATCAGGTAGCTGGGACATGACGGTCTCTGTTACACTTGGATCTGGATGGACCAAGGGAAGGGCAGGGCATTTGGGAAGGGGGAAACACTGGACTCGGTAGACCAAAAATCCACGGTGTTTTGCAAGGGCTACGACCAATTTGAGCCAACCACCTCAAAGAAATAGTACCTAAGCATTCCATTCCATCCCCTCTGCCTCTGAGCGGGGTTATATCGGTAGCTTGGGGGACCCTCGTGTGATTCCGCGTGATATCAGATATTCCAGTATCCTTTGGAATGGCATCCTGGAAGACCACAGAGGCGAGCAGGCACGAGGAGAGGTACTGGTCGATTTAAGAGACGTTACCGTCCATCAGTATTCGATCTAACGTTGAAGGGGCCTAACTGACTAGCTGACTGACTGTCTTGCTGGCAGCGCTCGACTCGAACTCGTCATAGAGGCTGTCCTGGTCAACCGCTTCAGTCGACCCATGATGATGGAGAAAGCCACACAATGCAGGATCCTATGCCGCCGTTTTTTCCCCTGCCCAGCCACTCATCCATCCATCGAACCACCGACACGCGCAGCCGTGAACGATCCAAGCGCCCATTTCGCCATGTCCTCCAAACATTCCAGCACCATATTTTGGCCCCGAGTGCGTGGCTTGATGATGCTAAAGTCCCATGCCGATGGTGTGTTGCCCCCACCAAACCCAGGGTCCGTCTCTTCACCATATTCTCCTACTCAACACAATGTTTCTTTTCCTCGACGCACCTGCTTACCACCTTGCATTACTCGGCCATGCTTGCCTTGACGACCGCAGCCCGGGGAAATTCTCCTGCGCCACCTCTTGAGATCGAACTGCCGTATTCGTCACGGGCCTCACTTCGCATGCTCCGGCAGGTAAGCACCTCCGGCTAGCACGAGATTCATGTTGGTGAACTTGACGATGTAGACGGGACTCTGCTTGGTGAGGAACGCGCTGATCTGGTCGCTGGTAACAACCGCGTCCTTACCGCGTCTCTTACCCCCTTGGATCCCAGCGACGCCAACACCACTGACACCCGTACCGCCAACGCTTGCGCCTACGCCCGCTGCTCCGGTTGATGTGCCCGAAGTAAGGTTGAGATTCGACGTCGGAGCGTTGGTGCCGCCAGCCGATTTGGGGGCTCCGTCCTGGATTGCACCTCCAGCCTGCGTGGATGCTGCACCGTCGCCGGGTTTGTTTGAGGTGGCACCCCCCGCGGTAGTGGTCGTGGCCGCAGCTTCCTTTGCCGGCCCGGTAACATCCCATGCCCTGACCGTGCAGTCTGCGCCACCGCTCACCAGCACCGTTGACTCGGCAGACCAACTCAGACTCCAGATGCCACCTTTGCCGTGGCCGCGCATTTTCTTGAGCAATCTCCCAGGCCCGAGATCCCACAGAAGTATGACTCCGGTGTCATCCGCCGACGCGAGGATCTTGCCATTTCGAGAACATGACATTGCTGTGATGGACGACGTATGACCGGTAAACATCCTTACGGCGTTCCCATTATTCAAGCTCCACATTCTGACCGTCTTGTCGGAACTTGCAGTAAACACATAACTCGAATTGGGATGCCAGGCTACCACGTCCACATCATCGTCGTGGCCAGCCAAAAGCCGCACTTGGCGAATTCGGTCGGTCAACCAGATTCTTGCCGTCTTGTCATGGCCGCTGGATGCGAAATAATGCCCGAACGGTCCCCACACGACTGACCAGACGGGGCCAACATGTCCTTTGTAGACGACCATGCACTGGAAGACGTCCAGATTCCAGAGGCGAATTGTGCTGTCTGCAGAGCACGATAGGAGCCATTTTGAATCTGTGTCGGGGGAATCCGGGGTAGGTTTGTAAGTTGAGGGCGCAAACGCGACGCTGTAAACTGGTCCTGAGTGGCCGATGAGGCGCTGGGAGTTTTGTTGTTGGCCATTGGGTGCGGGAGGACCAAGCGCGGAGCCATCCATCGTCCATATGCGAATGTATGACTCCGAGAAGCCCGCAGCCACCAGTCTCTGGTCACCACTGAAGTCTAGGCAACAGATGGAGTCGTGAGTGTTGTGGAATGTGTACATTACCACGCTGAGTCCCGGTCCAATCCCACCAGTACGAGACTCGATCTTGAGCCGGTCGCGGTTTTCGCGAATCTTTTGGACCTCCATGGCCACGTCCCGCGCAGTAGACGCCGGGAATGGAATTTCAGCTCGATTCGGCCCCTCATCTTCGTCTTCTTGCTTGATATTGACTAGTTCGTGAGTTTGAACCAGACTGGGCTGGCCGGGCTGAGGGGGCATCTTCTGATCGAGTTCCTCGAGTTCGGCGCGGACGTCTCCTTCAGCGTCTTTTTCCATGGGCAATTTGCCAAGCTTGAGGGTCGCAAGATTGTTTCCGACGTTCGGGTCCGTGGAGGAGATCGCGTTTCCAGGTTTGTGACCCGGGATACCTTCATCCTCGGCGGGCATGTCCTGGCCGTCGATCCCTCGTTGGATCACAGAGGCGAAACTGAAGCGGTCATCTGCTGCACGCTCGACCTGTCGTAGGTCCAGATTATTTTCCACGATATTCATCAAGAGTTTGTAGCCGGTCTGGGGAAGGGTCTCAAGAAATTGCATGAAATAGACGTATGCAGGGTTGCTGAGGGACAGCCGGTATTTGTTGTCGCGATAAATCTTAGCAATCTTGTCTTCGCTATGTTCTGACAAGGTGATGTGCTCAAGCCCTCTGAGATCGTATTCGTGCTCCTTTTTGAAATCCTCCGAGAACTTTTGAAACAGCCGAGTGGCTTCCTTGGGGTAGAATTGCTTGACAAGGTCGAGGTATGAGTACACGAAAATAGGCCAGAGAAGGCGCTTGACTTCTGGTTTGTAGATATCGAGAGCGTCATCGGTCCAAGCTTGCAACCGGACAAACATCTCATAGTAGCGCGGAGGCCCGGAGGGCGCTGGCTTCAATTCTGCGTCTTTGGGGATTTCTTGATTTGACGACTCCGCCCGGAGAGTGGCTTCTGTTCTGTGGTAGCCTTTCTTAGCCAGGTAGTCGATCACCTACGCAAAGTCGTTAGTAAATCATCACTCGACTTATTTACAGACACGTGGACATGCACGAAAGAAATAACGGGAATAATCCAGATCCTCAAGACGTTCCGCCTCTTCTTCTTTCATGATATCCTCGACGTATCGGTAGGGATGATATGGGTTGACAGCGATTGGTTCAGGTGCTGGTGTTTCGGAATCACCCTCGGAGAGGTTGGGTTTCTTGCGCGGTCTTCCTCGTGGTCGAGGATTCTCATCCATGCTGAGAGAAGACGACAAGGTGTAGACAGAGGGCCCTCGGTGTCTCTATCACGCTGCGACGCAAGACGACTGGTGTTTCTTTGATGGATGGATGTTTGCACAAAGAGCAAGTCTTTCTGGAGAGGCTCGCGGTTTAGAGGGTCGCACCGCGTCAATCATTAATGCCTGCATGTGATGGTTGTTTTGCTTCACCTCTCCATTGTTGTCGATTACCATATCTGCCAAGCAATTTGATACACCAGAAGATTCGACCACACACTGCGATACCCCCCAACTCTTTCACGAACAGGAAAAGACAAATGCATGTGGAGGAATCAACGGAAGGGGTTGCTCACAATTTGGTTGAGATTCTGCTGCGACATGCCTCCTCCGCCAGAACCACCTGTTGTGCCACTTGCGGGAGCCGAAGGCGCAGCAACAGATGCATTGGCAACGCCGTTGACCAGAGGAGCAGCGGTTGGAGTGACCAAAGGGCCATTTGGCCCTGTGCTTGCGCTCCGTGGCGCTGGGCTGGGCGCCGACATCTTTAGCTTTCACTCATGCACAGGCGACACGCGTCAAGGTCCGACCGAGGGTCAGTCTAAGTGTGTGCAAGTGTGAGTGACTGGTGAGGCGATGGTGACTTGGTGATTACGGCGCAAGAGATGATACGGGAGTCTGGACGGTGACGAGGAGTTGATGCTGGTGAACTTCGTGAATCTGATATTCACGCTGGTGACGCTAATCTATATCAGGAAACCTCGGTTAACCTTCCTTGAGATACGACATGCTTGTCACTGCCACAAAGCCCTTGATATGTTGGCAGAGTCTTTGAGGCTCTTTCGACATTCGACGGCACAGTCACCAGGGAAGTCAATCTCTCGCGATTCTGCGGGCCTGGACAATGCACAGACTACCGACAAGCCGCCCCAACGACCAACCTCTCGATCGCAGAAATGGAGGCTGAGCAGCCCGACGAGGCCCAAACCGCTTCCTTTACGCCTGCAACACGAATTGCAGAATTGAGCGAGATCGACCGGTCCATCTCTACACTCCTCTCTGCAGCCTCTGATGCCGTTGGTATCTTATCAAACTCAACCGCTTCCGAAAAGCAGCAGACAGCTCTACGTTCATCGTCCAGCGCACGAGCCGCGTTTTCAGCAGCCGCCGAGTCCTACTTTTCTACCCTCTCCTCGATCGAAGTCCGACTCAGACGTCAAGTTTACGCGTTAGAAGAGGCGGATCTTATCAGGCCTGGGGATGACAGAGATACAAGAAGAGGCCGAGCTATGGGTGGAGACAATAACTTGACCAGAGTGGGCGGTGGCCCTCTCGACCCCAGCTGGCTCAACGCCCGAGCAAGTGACAGGGTAGAGGCGGGAATGAAGCAAGAACTTCTGACTCAAGCAAAACAATTTGTGGAACGAGCGGAAAATGAAACGCCAAACGTTGGTCAGGACAAGCTTGTCGACGAGAAAGCCGATAGTTGAAGAGCTGGGGAGCGGGAATATTCTTTCGATGACACAATTCCAACTCTACGGACCCCAAATACCCACCACAGACACCACGTCCCCTTGGGGCCATCGATTCACCGGTTTTGGTGACGGGCCGAGTTTACAAACGTTCACTCGGTGTTATTTTGGCGAAGAGATGAAATCGTGGATACCTGACTAAATCGACAGCGACCCGTGTTATTTGGACGGTGATACCGCGTGCCCCGCCCCGTGTCTGCGCATGACGGCGGCAATGGACCACGTCCTACTCATAAGCAGCTGAAAAGACAACGCTCCGACCGCGCCCCGGCTGCGCCGTTCATATAACTGCTTAACTCATCACTCTCCATCGTCATCTCTACCGACCTTCCACTCGCCCCGCGCTCACCGTCACTCATCATCACCGTGACAAACCCCGTTCTTTTACAGTCCTGGCTCTTTGTCCTTGGCTTAACCAGAATTTCAGATTATCTGGTCGTCGATATAGCAGTTTAGAGCATTACACGTGCCTAAAGTTGAGTCTTCAGTCCATCCTGAGTTCATCAAAGCTCCACAATAGAGACGGTGAACCATACTGCGGACGCCGATCCATTCATGTGAGCCGACTAACACCCTATGTGTATGCATGTGTGTTCTCCCGATTGGGTGGATGGAATTTCCAATTCAGGAAACGCAGACTGCAAAGTGCTCGAAATGGAACATTGTGACGGCGAAATTTCTCCGTCGACGCATGTGCTTTTCCTCCGGCGATATGAATGCAACCTCATAGCCCAAGGCTCCATATCGCTGATATACATTTTTGGCCCGTCAATGCTAGCCATCGTCCCCAAGCAAAACTACGCAGATACAGCATACCTTCCATCGAGAAAATGTCGACTTCGCCAGATGGAATTTATGAGCCGGGCATCATTGACCCAGGCTTTCCGGTCAAAAACTCGACCCAGTCATTTTGGCACTCCGAGCCTTCATCCATCAGTAAGCTACGGTCGTCATGGGTCAATACCGCCGACATTGTGATTATCGGGTCAGGCATAACAGGCATGAGCCTTGCTCGCACCCTATATTCAAAGCGCCCTCAGCTTCGCATCGTTGTTGTCGAAGCTCGAGACCTCTGCTGGGGTGCAACGGGGCGGAATGGGGGTCACTGCAAGGCTATGAGCCCCGGAGTCTGGCACGAGCGGAAGCAAGAGTATGGAGTCGACGAAGCAGTGCGTGTAATGGAGTACGAGCATAGCCATTTAGAGGCAATGGCTGCCTGCGTCAAAGAGAACGGCATCGATTGCGACATGCGTATTGTCGAAGGTCTCGATGTCTACCACGATCGCAAGATCTTTCAAAGAGCGCTCGACGCCCTAGAAGATATGCGAAAGTACAAGCCTGGTCTCGCGAGTCGATACACCGTTTACACTTCTAAGCACGATCTCAGCGCCCGCAATCTGGATCTGGACGAGGCCTGCGTGGGAGCAATTGGCATGCCTGCGGGTGCCGTGTGGCCCTACAAATTCGTGACCGGCATGTTTCAAAAGATGGTGGACGAGTCGGGTCTCTTGATACAGACGAACACGACCGTCACCGATGTGATTGAGGAAGACGCAAGCGATTACGCGACAGTCAAGACCGATCGTGGAACTATTCGCGCAATGCACGTCGTCCACGCCACCAATTGTTGGATGGGACACTTGCTTCACGAGCTTCGACCGTTCGTTTCGCCCGTCCGTGCTAACGTTCAACGGCACATACCGCGCCCCAATAAGCTAAAGATCGACAACTATTCCTTCTGGCTGCGATATGGTGAACACGAGTATGACTACATCATCCAACGACCCGATGGCGCCTTTATTCTGGGCAGAGCGAGTACTGGGCGCAGGGCGACGTCCGACGACAGTGAAAGGGACTTGGTCGCACATGCCCATCTTCGTGGTGTGACGCCACAGATCTTCAACTTTGGAACGCGAACCATCAACGTGACCCATGCGTGGAGCGGCTCTGTGGCCTTCACACAGGATGGAAACCCATTCGTGGGCCATCTTCCTTTCCAAAATCGGTGCCACCAATGGGTGTGTGGAGGTTATCAGGGTATCGGAATGGTCAGAGCATTTCGGTCGGCGCAGATGCTTGCTCTGCTCATGCTGGGAGAAGGCATTCCAGAGGACTATCCACGGTCTATGTTGCTGAGCGAGGAGCGTGTCCAGAAGTTGAAGCGAGCCACGGGTAGCAAATTATAAGTTGAGCAAGGTGAATGATTTGTGAGTGGAAGAGTGCCACTCACTAGGCGTTGCACAGGCCTGGTTCCCTCGATGGCAATCAAGAAATGCACATGGGTAATCGGTCTGTTGACCATCACACATGTGCCGAACGGATCGGTGTATACAAGAGTTTCTGGCATGGTGGTGTAAACCACCCAAGATACCCGCTCTCAATGGAGAAGCGTGTTACGACGTTGAGATTTCGCAGCGCGGGGACGACTTCCGCAGTTTGGCCCCCTTCGAGACGCAAGGATCATCCAATGATTGTAACAATACCCATAGACTGTAAGACATCCATCCAGAATACATTGACCCCCAGGTCGAGTCTTTTGAAGATCTCAGAGACCGCCTGTGCCACGCACAGGAGGGGCGCCGAGAGCATCCTGCTCGCCAGCGCCGAAATGCGATCAAGAACAAACTGTCGTGACCGAAGTATGTCTCCCTCCGCGTCACTGCCTTGCAGCTCCGGGCGCACACAGAGAGAGCCGGCCCCGACAAGTAGCAACAATGCATGAACGCAAGCCGTGCCGGAGGTGATGTGCACCTGCTCCAGACGGTTGATGATACTGCTGCCGAGGAAGTTCAGCCATTCATCTGGGCCACCACCGGCCTCTTCCTTCAAAAGGCACGACCACAGACCGAGGTGGGATTGCGTCCATGATCGACAGGAGCAGCCTCTGACGTGGTCCTCCTCGGCGGCAAGAATGCGCCGGATCCGTTTTCGTCGGAGGTTGGGGAAGATGTAGTAGAGCTGATAGAGGCAGGCGAACATGTACGCTTCGGCGAGCAGAAGATGGTGGATTGCCGGCGTGTTCTCGTCGCCGGTGTTGGCGATTTCATGCAATTGCGGCAGGTCAAGCGTCCAGAGCTCTTCCTCCAAGGTGTTCAGCGTCTCCAGGAAGTCACTGGGCCGGCTGAGAAGGGCACTCGATCCCGAGACTGCTGGGTGGAACGATCGTAGAGACCGGATGTGTCGTACAATGCGCGAAAAGATCGCCTGCGGTGCTGTGGCGACACCCGCCCACGGATGCGGCGTGATGCGCGCTCTGTTGACGAAAGACTGGGCATGTGTGGTTTGCTTCTGTTGTGTTCGGTGGCTGGGGCCCGACGTGGAGGAATAATCATGGAGAGGCACGTCGTCATCCACCAGACAAGCCACCATCTGCCAGTACACCAGGGCTTCCTTGAAGAAGTCTAGATGCTGAGACTCATCACCAGCCCACGGGAGCCGATTGGCGGTGATGGCGTGTTGCAGCGCCCGCAGATGCATTGTGCCCAGGTCTGAGATTTCGTGCCAACACGCACTCAGGCCCAACAGCAGGACGACGAAGAGAAGCTCGGTGCTCAGCGTCTCCCCCGTGCCGCTGGAGAGAGCCGAGTGGAGAGACTTGAGAGCCATGGACTGGTACTCCAGCGCGTGAACTTTCATGGTGGGATTCTGCCAGGACAGTTTGGCCGCGGCCATGCTCAGGATCGCGTTGTACATGGGCACCGAGCTGTGCCATTTCTGACCCACAAACGTCCGGAACTGATTGCGTTGCGAGTCAAAGGTCGAGAAGATGGGGCACACGACCAGGAAATATGCCTCAACTAGTCCAGTATCGAGATGAGTCAACTGGGAGTGCAGCTGGGTCTGGTCGGCCTGCGAGATCTCGGGAGTGGTGGTGGTGGTGAAGGTGTCGTTTGTTCCGTCGAGAGGGTCAGATTGCACATTTGAGCCCGGGGGATCGTTGACTGCCAGATGCTGGAAAGACGCATTTGTCGTGAGGTCCTGCGTCTCGTCTGCCTGCACATCGTCACATGGCGGCCACCACATCATGCAGTCTTGGGTTGGGGAGATAGTCGCTGTGCTTGTATTCTCGCTATGGGGTGATGGGTATGAATTCTGCTCTGCAAGTTTGTGCTCGTCATTGATCTCCGACTGAAGCTCGAGGGTGTCGACCCTGCTGGCATCACCAGGCCCTGTCTCGCCGAGTACGCCGCTGACTGGAGCCGAATGGGGTGTCGCGATATCCGATCGCTGTTGTTGCCGTGCGCCATCGCTCTCAGGCTGCAAATCGAGGCTGAGATGAGCTGCCTCATTGTTGGTCGAAGAGGAGTTACATGACTCTCCAGAGGTCTGTGAATGGGCTGCTTCAACCGTTGATCGTCTGAGGCCAAATACCTCATGCTTTACGGACCAGCGAAGTTTGGGATGCGACGGAAAGCCAGGACATTTGAGCCCTTTGTCGGTGCACCGCTCACATGCGGGTTTCGTCTCGTCGCATTTGATCTGGAATTGTTTCAGTGTTCCTGACGCAGGAGTATCGCGATCAGAGCTAAACAATCAGACCTTGCGTGTCTTGCACTGTACGCAACCCGAAAAGGATTTGCGTACTGGTTGCCTCCGCCGCTGAGCCTTGGGTCTGAATGAGGGAATCAATAACATGGTCGGCAGACGCCTCTGGGCTAGTTGGCAGAGGACAGGGAGTCAGAGCAAGGGAGGGAAGGGGCTCCTCTTATCATGTTCCTCGCTTATCAGAGGCACTGATAGAGCCCTGACTGGGCCCCTGGACGATGGTCAGAGGGAGATTGACGTTATAGTACCTCGACAGCTGTGGTCCCCCTGGCGGGGCGCGGGGTAATGCACTGCATGTCTATATACTTCTAGATAGCTCGTGTCAATTGGAGTCCGGGTGGCCGTCCTCCGAATCTTGGCCATTCACCTTTGGATAATTAAGACCGTTCGTGTTTAGCCAAATGTATTAGAGGTGGGCACACGAATGAAGATAGGTCTATAACCAAGCCTGGGATTGGTGCCGTCTGCCTCCAGCTTGTCTAAATATCCTGGGCTGGTCTGCTCTGCTCTGGGTGAAGGCTGGCTGCTGGTATTATCTGGAACTGTCTTCTTTTCCCGTCTCTGATAGTCCAAGGGCCTCGGACTCCCAGATTTCTATCCCACAGAACTCTTTCCACGCGAGGGTTTCCTATCTATCCGGTCTATCCATAAGTGTCCCAACTGGATCTGCAGGCATTGCACTGCAACCACATCAAGACTTTCTTTGAAGAGGCGGACAACTAACTGCTTACCATCTGTATTGATTGGACTGTGAATTTAGTTTCTGAATGTGTCAACAGGTGTAGTGCTCGCGCACCGACACGCGTCAACAGCCTTGCACGGTGGGATAGCTCACGGGAGAAGATAGCCCCCGTCAACGTGCAGTACGGTACCCGTAACGAAAGAACTGGCATTACTCGCAAGATAGAGATATGCGGCCTTCAGCTCCTTGACGTTGCCTGAAGTCTGTCAGCTCGAGTTCTGTGTACAACTGGCCATGGGCACTATACCTTGTCGACCCAAAACGGCCATACGATTAGCTTCGTTGACGGACGCCGTGCAAGTACTCATGTCTGTAGTAATCCATCCAGGAGACACGATGTTGACGCGGGCAAATTCACGCCATTCGCGTGCGAGGCTCTTGCCGAGATGTGTAACGGCGGCCTTTGTAGTATTGTATGCTGTATGATCGACTGGGACAGTGACCACCTCTCCGCTCATACTGCCCGTTATAATGAAGTTGCCAAAGCCCTGCGCTTTGAAGACAGCACCGACACTCTTCGCACAGTACACCACACTATGCACATTGACGTTCATTTGTTCATGATAGTCCTCAAGAGACTGCTCTAGAATCCCTTGTGGGTAACAGATCCCAGCGTTGGCAACGAAAACATCGATCCTGCCCATTTCTCTGCGTACGTCAGAGACAAGAGCCTGTACCTTGGCCGGATCGGTGACATCGCATTGACGAGGTAGAACTTTGACTCCATTCTGCTGTGCGATCTCGTCGGCTCTCGCTCTTATGGACTGATCCCCAGAGCGATACACCAGGACCACGTGTGCACCAGCCTCGGCCAGACCCTCTGCGACAGCGAGTCCGATTCCACGGCTTGCGCCTGTGACGATACATGTCTTCCCCCTCATGCTGAATTGCTCCATCACATTGGAAGGCACGTTTGGCAGTGGACGGGCCGGCCGACTGTTGGTAAGACATTCCTCATATGTCATCGACATTATAAGCCAGAGCACAGATCGGGGACGTTGCGTTATCTCGACTTTCTGTCTCGCGGGCAAAAATGCATAGGCATCCGGAGGGATGTCAGTGAGGCTTGGGACATGGTCAAGGACCTTTCTATGCTCATTGCTCACGGACTTTTGGGCCCAAAACTTCTCGGAGTAGTGCGATTTGTTTCTTTCTGCCCAGTGCCACCACTGACATCGTTGCCCGAGATTGAGATCCTGAGCGCATTGGCACCCTATTCCTGAAGAGGAATTGCATCGCGCAAGCTCCTTGATTCGCTCGCCTCTGCCAGCCGACCTCCACATATAACCCATGGCCGTTGGGGAATAGGTATTCTCTCTGGAGAGCTATAAACAAATGCGAGGATTCGAAGACCAAGTGTGCTGTCAGTTCACTGAGAAATTGTTTACACCGTCTACAATGAGGTCTGAATCCTTCCTCCCACACATGAACCACAGTAGCACCGTCATCTACTGGGAGAACACCTCTGTCGCCTTACTAGGAGTAGGACTGGTCCTTTTCCTCCTCTTAGGGTTAAGTATCTGCAAATCCCCCAAAGGCATACACTCGTGGTTTTCTACTCGGGAGGGAGAAGCCACTTCAACCTGGGCGCGCAAGAGAGGTGACAAAGGCGAGGCAAGAGGATTCAAAGTCCAATTTCCCGCATCCCGCCGACAAGCCATTATTTTGTCTCAGGACGAGAAAGCATGTGATGTACAAAGGTTGTTGAAAGGCCCAAGTTCGACCCAGGCCCAACATCATCAACTGCCTTCAACAGAGACCCCGGATTTTGACAAGCCAGGTCAATATACCCCTTCTGGCTTCTCTACGGAAGATCTCAAAGCACTCGGGACCTTCCCTGATTATTCTGTTTTGAGTGGTGTGCCTCACCCGAAACCCAGTCCTGACTTTGACATCAATACGGCGACCTTCCGGCCATTTCGGCCATTCAGATTTGCGTACCATCAGACCATGTGTAGGTAGGATCGCACTTTTCAAGGTTAAAAACTCAGCTGACGGGACGCTGTCCACATACAGCACTTATGAAGTTCGAGCCTGATTTCTGGATTGAATTGGAAAAGAACTATTTCAATAGGTTGGAACAACGGAAGCAACTCTTAAAACAGTACGGAACTAGTGTTTTGGATTACAGTCCAGGCTCGGAACTGGCTTGCAGAGAACTGATGGAGATGGTGCTGCAATTTGTATGCATTCGTTATCCTCATTACTTTGCGTTGGAAGAGTCGAACACCATCTTTGTTAATCGCCTATTGAAAACGAGAACGGAGCTCAACTCTCAACATCCACTGCATATACTATTCGACAACATCCCAGAAGATTTTGCCATGATGTTGCGCAATGAAGAAGATGGCATGTACTACCTCAGATCTGGTTTTATTTGTTCGTCAATTGGCTGGACCTTTGGAACCCATCACAACAGAGAGTTACGGGCCATCCACAAAGAGGTCAATGACTATGCAGAAAAGATGTCCAATTCGATGGACCGGTGAGTGCGGCGGCATTGTGGCTCTATCTGGCTAGCAAATGTGCGGTGGCTAACCCTCGACTTTTGGTAGATTCTTCTCAAAAATGCCTGTCGAACGGCCCATTCAACGGGGCTCGTGGTTCGTTGAAGACTGGGAACCTTTGTTCGTCACGCCTGAAGAATATGAACAAAACGCCGGTACCCGCCACCAAGGGGAATCTGTGGGCATTGAGCAGTGTTACCTTCGTTGCGACTGGCAAACACTCCGTCGGTTGCCTCTATCGGGGGCCATTGTGTTCAACTTCAAGGCGGTGTTCACGCCAATAACGGAGCTGCGGGATGAGCCATATATTCCGTCGCTGCTGTACAAACAGATTACAGCGGGGAATCCCTTGCTTACTGAGCCCAAAGTACATGCTCATATCCGACCTGTTGTGTTGGACGCATTGCAGGCATGGAAAAAGAAACAAGTAGAAAAAGGGATGATCCCTTCCGACTGGGTGGAAGAGACTCTGGCGGAATCGCCATTCTACCCGGGATGGGAGGAACGTTGGCGGAAAAAGATTGGATTCGACATCTGAAGTCGTTGCAACGCTGAATGCTTTGGCAGACGTCATACAAGGACGAGAAGGACTCTTAGCACCTGAAAGATTTCTAGTAGCAGCGCCACCCAAGCGCTGAAAGCATCAACATCGAGGCTGTGCGCTTGGCCCTCTGGATCTAGTCACTTGGCAGAGTCTGGGGTAATCCACACTGAATCGCCACGAATACTAAGCCAACAATCTTCCACAAGTTGCCAAGATTGTGTTCTACGTTGCTCTAATTGGAAAGATGGTCAAAAGCAACGCTCGGCCAGCAGCCCCATCGTTCTATCCTTGCTCGACTTGCGACGGGATTGGAGTTGACACTATGATGAGCGCGACTCTCGAATGTGGATATGGAAAAAGGAATCAAGATGCAGCAGACCCACGAGCTGGTGGATCTCGCAGACCATCCTATGTGTCAGAAGTCTCGGCATGAAAGACTCAATCTGGAATGTAATACCGTGGGCTCAATCTCGGCGGCATGGCAAGGTCGAAGCATGGTAGCTGAGAGTCATTGCATATATGTCGAGAGGGAGCGTACGCAGAATCTGTTGCCGGCCACCTATCACTGTTAGCGACTTCTTTTTAGGCCCCTGAACATTGAGACTCTTCCTTTCACCACCCCTCTATCATGGAGTCTACCTCAGGGAAGCAGCTTTCTGATGTCAGCGGAGCTGCCGAACCGACGAAATCTGAACAACTTGCTAGGCAAGAGAGCGTTGAGGTTGCCGGTCACCTAGTGGATTTGCGGACAGACCAAGTCTTGGAAAATCTAGGGTATACACCCGAGCTGGTGCGAAGTCGATCGACCTTTCATGTTGCCTTCATGTCTTTTGTTTTGGCCTCGGTGCCATACGGCCTGGCCACAAGCCTGTTCTATCCCCTGATCAACGGCGGCCCTGCGACCATCATCTGGGGCTGGCTGACTGTCTCGCTGATCATCATCTGCGTTGCCTGCTCCCTCGGCGAGATCACCAGTGTCTATCCTACGGCTGGTGGCGTATACTATCAAACATTTATGCTCTCACCCGTCCGATGGCGGAGACTTGCTGCATGGGTCTGCGGCTGGTCCTATGTGGCCGGGAACATCGTCATCACGTTGGCCGTCAGCTTCGGAACCACTCTCTTTCTAGTCGGGTGTATCAACGTCTTTGAAAAAGAACCTGGGGTCGGAATATTCGAGGCCCAAACATACCAGATCTACCTCCTGTTCCTGGCCATCACGGCTTTGTGTACTGGAACTTCAGCCTTGGGAAATCGCCATCTCCCCAAGCTTGACGTGAGAGTTTCCTCCTTAGTACTGTGAAAACGATCTGGCTAATCGGCATGCAGACATTCGCAATTTTCTGGACATTTGCCGGGCTTATTGCAATCTCAGTCTGCACTTTGGCCATCGCCAAGAATGGGAGACATTCTGCCACATATGTGTTTCAAGATTTCGAGCCACTTTCTGGCTGGCCCTCAGGCTGGGCCTTTTGTGTGGGACTTCTTCATGCTGGTTATGCAACCTCATCCACCGGGATGATCATCTCGTAAGTGTAGTGGCTCCAGCTGTCCTTCTTGTCTTCCCTGACTCGTAGCAGAATGTGTGAAGAGACCCGTTACCCAAGTACCCAGGTACCCAAGGCCATGGTAGCGACTGTGATACTTAATACGCTAGCGGGTTTACTCTTCCTCATTCCTCTAGTTTTTGTGTTACCGGATGTCGAGTTCCTTGTCAACCTCGCCTCAGGTCAACCTCTCCCATCAATACTCAAGTCGGCAGTCGGCAGCTCAGGAGGCGCTTTCGGACTGCTTCTTCCCCTTATCATTCTTGCTCTGATATGTGGAGTCGGCTGTACGACGGCGACTTCCCGTTGCATTTACGCATTTGCGCGCGATGGCGGTATCCCTGCAGCTGGTTTGTGGAAGCACGTCAACCAACGGCTCGGAGTTCCACTCAACGGCCTTCTTCTCAGTGCCGCCGTCCAGATCCTACTTGGGCTGATTTACTTTGGCTCGACCGCAGCCTTCAACGCCTTTTCCGGTGCTGGGGTCATTTTCTTGACAGTCAGCTATACCGTACCGATCGCCATGTCGTTGATCGGCAGACGCACCCATGTGAAAACAGGGCCGTTCTATCTGGGCGCATTTGGGATCTTTTGCAATATTGTTGCAATAGGTATGTCCTTTGTTTAAATGCTCCATCAAAAACCGCTGACAGTATTGGGCTTCAAGGTTGGTCCTGCCTGGCAATCCCTCTCTTTTGCATGCCGTCTTACCTGCCAGTCACAACTGAGACTGTCAACTACGCAAGCGTTGTCTTTTGTGGGTTTGTCGCTATGGCTACAGCATGGTATTGGGCATGGGGTAAGAAGCATTACCGAGGTCCCCCAGTACATCCCACGGACCTTTGTCGACAGTCTACTTAATACTGCCACGAATCTCGCGTGAACAGTTCGACCTTTACCTCCGCGGCAGAGTCCACATGGTTCGGTGATATTGGGTAGCAAACGAGCTGCAGGCTGCCCACTTGTGTCGTAGTCTCAGTGCAATCAGATCAGCATTCAACTTGAGTTATGCGGGTTTTATCCAACACAGAGTATGACAGAGTGATAGTAGGCACGCTGTACAGATTTCATAACTAACCCTCGGTATTTCACCTAATACACGCAAACCAGTTGTTGTCTTGTAGGTAGGCTTTGTTTCGTCTTTCCTTTCTTGACGGAACTATATCTGTACTGTGTTACTTTTCGGTCTCGCACACGTGAAGCTGCAGTATAAGAGGCCTATGATCGCGATAGTGACTTTTGTGTATGTAAATTCTTCTAAATTATTCGACGAGTATAGATAGATAGTAAGTATTTGGGTCAAGACTCGAGGTGTTCCCAATGCCAACAGCTAGACCCTGCCTCGGCGGTGCCAGCACGGATATGAACGGATCCGACTCTCAGATCCGTTTTTGTTAATAATCCATTGGGGGAGACCAGGAACCTCGAATCGGATGCCAGGAGCTTTGTAGCTGATCGGTCACTGTGATGTCGATCGTCTTTGCCCTGACTGGAACAACGGTTGAAGATAAGGGTTCTTCACACGCCTGGAAGCCGATGTTGCGCGAAGCACTGCCAATCTCAGTCATGAAGTCCCTCCTCGCGATGAATTACCGGTCTCAGTCATCACGCCGATTTGTGCGCTCGCTATGCTTTGATTCTGTCGGCTGGCGATTGGCTGCGTACAATCCGAAAGCTGGGGAAACAACTTGTGGCTTCACGGGCCCTCTGCCACATGCACAACAACATACCTGGTACTTACTTCCTGATACATGACAGTGCTGGCATGAAGGGGACATATACTTCTTGATATTGTTTACCTCTGCTGCCATTGCTTATATATTAATGTCAGATTTATTGCTCCTTTAGATTCCCCTACCTGTGCTGCTCAAAACCACCATTCAAAACATACTTCAGCAGCTCTGGTAGCCAATATCTCGTCATGTTGACAGAGACACCTCGCAATGGCACTACCAATGGTGCGACCACTGGAGATGCAAAAAGCGGTGTTCTCGAAGGTGTTTTTCCTGCGTCGTGGTACACCCAACCCGACTTCTACGACTTCGAGCGCCGGGCGATTTTCTCGAAGCGATGGTTGCTCACCACGCATCAACTTCGTCTCAAAGAAATGGGAAACTATCTGAGGTTCGACATGGCCGGCTTCAACTTCTTCTTGATCAAGACCAAGTCAGGCGAGATCAAGGCTTTCCACAATATCTGCCGCCACCGAGCGTACCCTCTCATTGACAAAGACCAGCCTGACGAGGGGAAGAAGTCCATCCTCAGCTGCGGCTACCATGGTTAGTATCCTGCTCCGTCCTCGTAAATGAATACGAACCATTGACTCTTGTGTCCCTAGGCTGGTCATTTGGTCTGGATGGAACGTTGGCAAAGGCACCCAAGTTCGAAGAGACCGAAGGATTCAACCGAGAGGACTACAGTCTCTTTTCCATTCATACTCACGTTGACAAGGTTGGATTCGTATGGATCAACTTTGACTCTTCGCCAACCCCGACCCCGTGGGAGGAGCTGAATGGGGGCACTGATGAACAGGCCCGCCTGGCAGATTTCCCACTCGACGATTACGTTTATCACCGGACATGGACCACGAACGGCAAGTACAATTGGAAGCTTGTTGGGGACAACTACAATGAGGTGAATAGATGTATTATGGATATTTGCCGAGTCAAGCGTGCTGATCATTCTCAAGTGCTACCATTGCAAGGCAAGCCACCCGGGTATCACAAAGATCACCAACTTGGATCGATATTCAGTAGAACCACACGCTGGCCGTTTCGAACACTTCCCTCCGAACAGAGACGACATAAAGGCAGAAGACTTTGAGTACTTCGGCAACGGAGCGTTCACCTACAACTATCCAAACTCTTCGGTCAATTTGTCCACCCCTTACTTTTTCATTATGCGTGTCGTTCCTACCGGCCCCACAACTGTTACAACTGAGTATCAGACCTTCCGGAATCCAAAGTCGCCCATGGATGTCTTCCAGCGAGCGGCGGATTTCTTCGAGGGCATTGAATTGGAGGACTACACATTGATGAACGGCGTCCAGCAGAGCTTGAATTCGGGTGTGTATGTGCAAGGCCCATTGCACACTCGCCGCGAGGGAGGTGTTCTGTATTTCAAGACGCTGATCGAAGCCGACCTGAAGAAACATATGGCACTAGAGGCCGACAAAGGGCATCAAGTCTGGCCAGCAAAGCGTAGCCAGCAGCTTCACCCCGCCGTGCTGAAGCAAGAACAATTTTGTTCCGATGTGTGCGCCTGCGCACAAAGACAGCAGAACCTGACGTCGATCGGCGTGAGTAGCAACGAAACAGAGATCAAGGCTTGGTAGGGTTCTAGGGAGACATATCTGTGGTATCGGTGACGAGGTTGACAACACAAAGAGCTAGTTGACCACTACGTACCTCCAGGATCTGATCGATGTAAGACTTCTGTGTCTTGAGCACGCGATTAGTGGACAGCTTGACATAGGAATGTGGAAGCTCCCCTGCGATATCGCACTACGGGGTACGCTCCAGGATGTGTGCTTCATTAGGCAGGCTCAGTCGGATAGGATATTATAGCATTCAATGTCTTTCTTCCAGCGTTCCACTCCCACGTCTCCTCCAAAGGGCAACATTGTCAGTTTTTCTACCTCATTCCAATCCCAGGCTTCTAGCCTTGCACCGCCATAAGCCGATAACTTAGACCGTTTACCTGGCACAGGTTCCTTTTTCCCTTGCCAGACCCTACTGGCTGGGTTTCCTGGTGACATCCGCTGAGACCTCTTCAGCATCTGCTGGGACCTCCAGGGCCTCAATGGCCACTTGTTTTTCTTGCTGAATATGGAGCGGCACAACCACGCTCTCCTCAAGGAAGTAGTTGGTGTCTTTCAAGTAGAAGACCACCACGTAGACGAGAGTGAGAGAGCCAACCCCGTAGAGGACCAATTGGACAATAGCCTGTGTCATGTAGGTGACGGACTGCGAGTCCATGACGAAACATATACACAGGCCAAGAGAGCCCATGCCTTTGGTGAAGCCGCTGTACATGGCGATGACGACTGGATCGTTGGACAGTGACCCGACCACCCAGCCGGCACTGCAAAGATATGTCGAATAGACGATTCCCCACAGGAGGTACAGGATGACTCCTCCAGCAAACCTACTGTCAGTCCAGTCTACCGCCGGAGGAGTCTCGAGTCGGCCGTCAAGCCCGTACTTTTTCATCCACCCGATAAGGCCGGCTGCGGCGCCCATGGTGATCACGCCGACCGTGACGCACGCAATAAGGCCGCGTCGACGGCGAGACAGCTGCTGGGCGTCAAGGAGAAAGCTCATGCCGAGAGACCCGGCAATCATGATGGCTTGAAAGAGGACGTTGTTCAGGGACCGGGTTCGGAGGTTGAAGTAGTAACTGTTGAGGCTGCTGGTCGTCGAGAGGCACATCTCAGATGCGAAAAAGGCGGGAGTCAGCGCCAGGAGTTTCCAATCGGTGAAGGTCTTCTTCAAATTTTGAAGCTCCGCCCTCGTGTTGGTGGGTTTGAATTCGGCGAGATGAGTGCCGTCGTCCCGGACAATGCTGGCGGGATGTTTGATGAAGAATGCAGCAGCGACTATCGCACAGCACATGATGACCACGAATATAATGTAGACCGGATCCGACACCCCGGTTGCTTGCGTCTTGTTGGCGCTGATTCCAAACGCGATGCTCGCACCGACTGTGCCGCCGAGCGACGTGAGACCCCATTGGATGGCGATGTACTGGATCTAAGGTGAGTGCCTTTTCAGGACGTGCTGGTATCGGGTCTCCTTACCTTTCCTTTGTCTTTCTCTTCGGGGTATGTCCAGGCGATGAAGCTTGCAGCAGTCCAAAGGCAGCCAGCCGTTATGCCCAGAATGGCTCCAGACAGGTAAGGAAACCAATCGTGACCGCGGCGGTCAAAGTACCAGAGACCCCCAACGTAAAGAGGGTATCCGAAGCCTCCAAATATCCTAAGACGACAATATATGAGCACATGAGGGTGGGCGTGCTCCCCTTTGTGGGAATGGTAGCACGCACACTGTCGCCTTTGGCTTCATGAGGTTGAGAATCGTGCCTCCTATCCAGCCGAAGACGGTGAAGAGTCCATAGAGAATGCTTCGACACATGTCAGCCATTGAAGATTCCTAGTCCAGGTGAAAACATTCCGAACTTACGCATTGGTATTGACGGCAACATGAAGTGCTCCGGGTCCTCCACCTCCAGCCCCGAGGCCAGTGAGGGCGAGATAAATACCCGGTAGGCAGAATAAGATGCTGCGAGTTGAAGCCGTTAGCGTAACCAGTCGTCGAAAGGATCAAAATCGTTGCGATACGTACACGCCCATGATGACATTCTGTACGGCGGGCCTGTTGATGCGCCATTTCGAGAGTGGTTCGACGGTTCCGGCGTCCATTTTGATGTTTGAGGACTTGCTGGCCGCTAATCTCTTTGATATCAGGACTGAACCTGAGAAAGAGAAGCTGCAGGCCTTTTATAAATTTGGATAGTCCATTCCGAGACTTTCTTCATGAGGAACGCGGCACATTCAAATCCGACATGGATTCCGGGCTGGTGATGAGCTAGCGAGTGACAGAGTGGCTCTGATAAGAAACAGATACTGAAATATGACTCTGCTGGAAGTGTCGAATAATATGTGGCCTTGCAAGCCAGATCTAGAATCAGTCCGAACATGGATTCTAAGCGCGACCATCATGATAAGGAGGGAACTTCCCAACTCAAGGGGTCTCAAATTGATTCTCGGCTCCGGAATGAAGGTGCTAGGTGGAGGTTTGACAGATGCATGGCCAGCATCTGGGGAACACGGGCGAGATTTGGGGAGGCTCGCAAAAGTCCTTCTTCATCTATCGTTAATTAGAGTAGAACGAAGCGTTCTCGGCATTTTCTGGCTGCGTTATCAGTCAGAGAAGCAAAATGTTAGCATCACGCACTTTCTACTATGAGTAGTTAAGGCACCAGTGACAAACGCCGTAGCCTCTGAGGGCCGGATTGTCTCGCATCGAAGCGCGCTTATCCGCGGTGAGATTAGAGAGAGGCTGTCACAGTATCTAACCGCTGTAAATCAATGTCCAAAGGGCGATGTGCTTCCAACCGAGAATTGGGGAAGGGCGCTTATAAACTTTGGCAACCTCAATGGGGTTCGACCCTCATGCCGAGGCAGATTGTAAGATTGCTCGCTCATGCCATTTTCGTGAGTGGAGGATCGACGGCGGTGTCTTCGGAGCGCTGAAAAGCTCGTACACCTATACATAAAGGAATAGAAGCAGAAATGTGCAGATCTAGATTTCGAGACCGGTTTCAAACCGCGAGTCGAAATATTGCATAGAGCTATCATCAGGTGGCTTTGTGGGGGTACCGCCCTTCCTTGTCTTCTTTGCAATCACTTCCTGACGACCTGAGCAATTCATCCTTGTGGTCTCGGCCGCCCCGACATCAACTATGACTGCAAACTGGGAGGCGCGCTGTGTAGAAGCACGGGCCGCCAGAGACGCGACAATCCCTGAGGAATGGCTGTTGAAGGATCTTCCGTCGGAAGATGTGACCAATGTCATGTCCCTCCCGTACACGTCAGGGTTGATGACGGAAGAGGAGCTTGCACTTACTGAGCTGGACGCTACGGAACTGTTACAGCGACTGTGCAAAGGTGAAGTCAAGAGTTATACAGTAACTCGAGCATTCTGCAAGCGTGCAGCCATCGCACAACAAGTGGTGGGTGACACGAGCCCCAATGGCTATACGCAAATCCATTCTCTGCAAAGCTGACACGGCTAGCACATTAGGTCAACTGCCTTACGTATATGTTCGTGGATGAAGCACTTCAACGAGCTCGTGAGCTGGACGAATATCTCGAGAAAAATGGGATGCCCGTGGGCCCATATCATGGTTTACCGTTCTCCATCAAGGACCATCTGGCCATCAAAGGCAAGGAGTCTTCCACAGCCTTGGTAGGATGGCTGGGTTTCAAACCTGAGACAGATGCCCACGTCGTAGGCATTCTTCGTCAGGCGGGTGCGGGTAAGTCGGCGGTCAATTCATCCGTGTCCATTTGCACATACGTTATTGAGAGGGATTTTCTTGCTAATTTTTGGTGCTTTGACAAGTCTTCTATTGCAAAACTACAATGCCTCAATGTAAGGAAGACTTCAAACGAAGCAACGAGCAACAGTCTAATACAATCGAATTACAGCCGGAATGCATTTGGAAACCTCCTCAAATAGTAAGAGCAACACCCCGATTATTCCGCAGAGAAAGCAATACCCCGAGTCCCGGACCATGCATAGGAGCTAACACCAGTGGAAAACAACAGTATACGGAAGGACCTTGAACCCATTCAACCGCAAGCTGACCTGTGGTGGCTCTAGTGGAGGTGAAGGAGCGCTCGTAGCATTTCGAGGCTCTCCGATCGGCCTGGCTGCTGATATTGGAGGTAGCATTCGCGTTCCAGCTGGCAACAACGGCCTCTTCGGGGCCAAGATCACCTCAGGTCGAATTCCTCTCACCGGCTTGGTCCATGCGGTCAGGGGAAATGATTCGATTCCCACAGTGGTCGGTCCAGTCTGTCGCTCCGCAAGGGACAACGAATATTTCATGAAGGTGATCCTCGCGGCTGAACCCTGGAGGAAATCCCACTTGGTTGTCCCCTTACCGTGGCGGACTTCGATAAGTCTCGCGGAGAAGCTTACAATTGGCTTCATATGGGACGACGACGTCGTTCGCCCACACCCACCAATTACCGCAGCAATGAAGAACCTCAAGGCGAAACTCCAAAGCTTGAATCAATTTGAAGTTGTAGATTGGGAACCCTTCGAACACGCGCGAGGCTACGATCTGATCCGAAAGTTATACTATCCCGACGGCGCGAAGGCCATCCTCAAGGCCATCACAGACTCTGGAGAGCCTGTGCTTCCACTGACGCAGTGGGTGACCAAAGAGAGTCATGCTGTTGAACGTACAATACCGGAGCTGTGGAATCTCAATATGGAGAGAGAGGTGTATCGAGGTAAGTCTGGCTGAGCGACCACATGGCTACCCTGGGGTCTCCATTATGACTAGAAAAGTCAGCTATTAACTCCTTCAAATATCCGTTGCTGACTGATATTTCAACAAGGACAATACCTCGCCTACTTCAATTCCAGACCAGAGGTTGACTTCTTGATTTCTCCGGTCGGACCTGGCGTTGCCGCTCGGCACGAGACAGCACGGTACTGGGGGTATACTGCCATTTGGAATTTGCTCGACTGGCCCGCGTGCACGTTTCCAACCGGAGAAACAGTGTCGCCTCAGATTCATCCCAAGGACGCATCGTACACGCCTCGGCTCAACGAGTTCGACTCGTACAATTGGTCAAATTACGAGCCTAGCGAATACGAGGGGGCCCCGATATCCCTCCAGCTCATCGGCCGAAGATGGGAGGATGAGAAGGTGCTCAAGGCCGTTGAGAGACTCTCGGTAGTGCTTGATCTGAAAGATGCTGGAGCGAGAAGACAAGGAACGACAAGGCAGACGGGGGAATCGAAACTGTAGAAGGCGAACTCCAATATAGAGCATAGATGTCGGGGCTCCGAGGCTTGAGATGCTTTGCATCCTTGACTTCCTAGAGAGAAGTCGTCCTCTTCGTGTACATAGGCCTCCAATACATATTAGCACGGTCCTCTGTATACATCACTTCCAAACAAGTCGTTTATGAGCGGATGTATCTGTGGCAGCGCATTCCACTCAGCCAGTACACTTTGCCAAGTGCAATTCACGAGAAAAAAGAGCCGCTCGACATTTCTGTCAACGACCAATGGGGCCGAGGGTAGAGATGTCACTTTGACAAAAGCGACACCCCGACAATGTGTACATTGGCGCCCTGGGCGAGGAGTAGTGGATGCGCTTCGACCGCAAACAGGGTTTACTCCAAATGTGATTGCTTAACCGCGGTTCGCTCTAGACAGCGCGCTTGTATGCAGGGTCTGACCCGCACCTGAATCTGATAACTAACCGTTCTAGCACCCCCATCGAGAAGTGATGATAGATATCACGTTTTGGCCAATCAGTTAACGGAAAGAAGCCGCGACTTGATGGTCGAATGTGGCCGCCGCGAACACAGGGACGGGACAACCATGCTGGATCTTGATGTTTTGGGCCCCAGTTTTATAGCTTGAACGAGCAGTCCTCTGCTCTAGCTTCGGGACAAGCAGCTTCGGGCAGTATCGGTTTCCGGTAAAGAGGACAAACAATTAAAACATACTGCCAGGAGTAGTGAAGTGGGACAACTCAATACCTTCTGCTTCCGTAAAGCTCAGCAGGTCTTCGGCACATTCATCTTCGCTTCTGATACTCTCAATACCATCGATTTCCACAACTCCAGCGCCGTATCACAGGATATCTTCTGGTCTGTGTCAACCAAACATGGGCGAGTATAAGGAAAACAGAGGTATAGACGAGTTAGCAACTTCGACTGAGAAGCAGCCGTTGGAGTTGTCTCAGCAGACGTTGGCATTGTTGCAGCAGGAGCGCCAATATGTCGCGGGTGGATTCGAGCCCGTTCCAGTCTTCTTTTCTCGGGCCAAAGGCTCAAAGCTATGGGTGTGTTCATGATTCTTCTCAGTCATTGTGGTCACTTTGACTGACTCACCATTTCCATAGGACGTTGACGGCAAAGAGTATATCGATTTCATTGCCATGTTCAGCGCCGTGAACCAAGGACATGGCCACCCTTATATCGTCGAGAAAGTCCGCGACCAAATGGACCAGAGTGTGTTAATCAACCTTGCCGGCCACAACGCCATGTATCCTCCCTTTGCCGAGATGATGTGCAAGAGATTCGGGTACGACAAGATTCTGTGTGCAACCTCGGGAACCGAAGCAGCAGACACAGCTTGCAAAATTGCGCGCAAATGGGGCATACAGCGTAAGCGTATTCAACCAGAGTCGTGCAAGATCCTGGGAGTCGGATCTTCATACCACGGTCTCGGATCAGGAGTATGGGGATTGATGGATCCCTCCCGAAAGCGAACCGAGTACGGCTTGGATAGCAGACTTGTACTTAACTTCAATCCGTCGACGGGGGCACCACTGAAATACCTCGACCTCGAGGCCATGCGTCTCTGCTTGCAAGAACATCACGACACCGTGGCAGCCGTCATTATGGAGTGCCTGCACGGAACTGCGCGGACTCCAGAGGAGGAATTTGCTTATGCCAGGGGTGTCTACGACCTCTGCCGCCAATACAACGTCCTCTTCATCGCTGACGAGGTCCGGCAGGGTGCGGGAAAGACTGGGAAGTTCTTATCCTTCTACCACATGGGCGAGGACATGAAGCCGGACATAGTCACCATGGGCAAATCCATTACTGGAGGATTCTATCCACAGTCTTACGTCTTAGGAAACGCAGAAGTGATGTCGCTAGTCGGGACATTCGAGATCGGATCAACCTATGGTTTCACACCATTGGCTATTGCTGCAACCAGGGCGGCCATCGAGGTCATCGACAATGAGAATCTGATGTCCAGGGCGGTGGAATTGGGCAAGAAATGGACAGCGATTGTTGAGGGCTGGAAACATCCAAAGGTCGACTATCTTTTCAGTTTGGGGGCTGACTCCAACTTGTTTCTGCACGACCTTTCGGGGCTGCGTGTGGCCGCTCTTTGCATGCACAAGGGTCTTTTCCTTCATCCACGTCCAAACGGATTGAGGATAAGTTTTGCGATGACTATGACGGATGCAGAGTTGGAGAAGGGAGCAGCGATTCTGAAAGAGGTCCTGGATCAAATCGACAATTTTGTGGATATTCCAGGAGAAAAATTTGACTGTCGCGGACTGTCGGGGCTACAGGGCTGAAAATAAGACCCATACACACGTAGTTCCTGTATATAACGCCCTCTCCCCACTATACAAGGAATTTGAACGTGCTAAGTAAGGCAAAAGTTGACTCCCCGTTGCTGCATGACAACGTGTAAGCCAAATGGTCCATAGGCGCGTCTGTCAGGATCCGTCCACAGCCAGTCGAGCAGCTCCAATGCGTTCTTGACATGAGCCATTCCGGATCTGGAGAGTTCAAAGAGCGATCGCAGATAGTCTTGCTGGTCATTTCTGAGGATGCACGATCCGGCGATAACACTGGGCCAGATTACGATTGCCTTGTAAGGAGAACGCCATATCGGGTCAAGCAGCGGTAAGATAGCATCAACGTGTACCTGGAGTTCTCCAATGATCTTAGGATTGTCGATGGAGGAGCCGCACATCGCTGCTTTGAGATAGATGAGAAGGGCATGGCGGTAAGCTTCGCCAGTCTGAGCGTGCTCAACTGCCCAGGCTGACATTTCTGAGACTGGAGGACAGGACTCCCAATTCTGAATTTCGGTAAGCAGCTCCTCGTAGATCGAAGTAGTTTCTTCTGAGCAGTCCCGATGTTCTTGCTTTTCGCACAGGCGTCTTGCAAAAAGAAGTGAGATGGCTGGGATTTTCTCAAAAAGATCGTAGCCACAACTGAAAAATGTACCGAACGTGTCGTATTGCTGGAGATGTGATAGAGATGTGACGAATGAGTCAAAGGGAACTTTGAGGTTATCCGATTGACTGTAGGGTGCTATAGTGGCGGTCAATGCTAGGTAAGCGTATACTTCGAGTGCGAAGCCTTGCAGGTCTTTCTGATCTTTGCAACCATTCCCAAGATTCGAATCGGTGATACGGAGAGCCAGATGACGGCTTGCACGTAGGTGATGGATCATCGATCCCTCTCGGTTCCCGGAGATGGCCTGCGACAAATGATTTATCAGACGACGTTGCGCTTCGGAGGAATGATTTCGAAGATATTCTCACCTCAAAATGACAGAGCATGATCAAGACCAACAGCAGGCGCAAGCTCCTTGAATGCGACATTGGAATGTGGTTTTGTAATTCTAATCGGAGGCCCGTCAGGGTCATATCATAATGCTGCCAGGTTGCTTGCTGGATTTCGAGTAGGGACGGTTCTGAACCGCAAATATGGCTTCCACTTAAGGCGAGGACAGAGTGCATGAGTAGTTCATCGCAGTATGCCAGTGGCAGAACAAGGGTCACAAACGGGTTATCCCGCTGTTGCTTGACGGCCAAGAAGTCCGCTGTCCTCTCAATGTAGTGACGGAGGAGTTGAGGAGATGTTGGCTTCAGCCGAGGTGCAGATGTAAGGCTCGACAAACTTTCATTCAGAGGGCTCCAAACTAGTCGCCGGCCAACAACAGCTGGGTCCCAACGGTCGGTGGTCTCTTCGAGCAGTTCCAACCCCGTTGCGTGGGATATGGGTAGTGCAGGCAAGGTTGGCGCATCTGAGTCAGAGGAATCCACACGGATTGATGTTGGTGAAAGGCCATGGTAAGAAACTTGAGTGCTATCCCAGGATGCTGTGAGAAGATCTCCCCTCTCTTCCAAATCCTGAACATCTGAAGATAAGTCATCGGGCCAGCAGCATGCCAATGAGTTTCTGCTGCAGCCAATGCAGAATGGCCTCTTCTCATCGCACTTCTTCCGCCGCCGCCGACCTTTGCTAGTATTCAGCCGGTCATTCTTCACAGTTTGGGCCTGATAGCCAACGGATGGGCAAGATAAGCATCAGACTTACATGTGAGACATCCTGTCCTGGTGCGGGTGTAGCGGAGCTTTCTCTTGCGAGAAGGCGGATGGATGTTGTCACTTATCGAAGGGTGTTCTATCGAGTTCCGCATGATCACGGTCGACGACGTGGAAAGATGAGGTTTGACTCGATGCCGGGGAAGGTTCATGTGGAGATTAAAGCGAGAGAGGGGAGCCCAAGTCCTTCGCCGTAGGGAGGGCCGACACGTGACTACTCTCCATTCCACGTGACTACCCCCTCTCGCCATGCTGCTTTAACAGTGTACGGTGCATCATTTGTCGGCACTCGGCCTGATTCGAAGCAAGCCTGGGCCGCCACAGGGCAGCATCATCTTCATCCCCATCGGGCCGAGACGCCAACCTAGGCCAAAGCTTGGCATATCGTCGGGTTGTGACCTTCGGCGAACCGTCAATCTGCGTACACCACCACATCTTGCCGTCTTGGTATTTTGTTCGTATAGCTTCGCATCCGCAACTTATTGTGCATCTCCGGCTGTGCCGGCTATCATGGATAACATCAATGTTGATGAGGTAGACGCGAAAGCTAAACGCCCAATTCTACGACGCGAGGGTTCGACAACGGTTCCTCCTCCGCCCCCTTCACAGCCACCACCGGCTCCGCCGCCACAACCAGATCCCACAGACTCTCTGAGTCTGCCACAGCTGAGACAGTTGGTGGGACAGTTTCCGAAAGCGGAACAGACTCCCTACGCTTTTCACTATCAGGATGCCGAGGACTTTGACCACGAGATTGACCAGTGGTTTCATTACACCGAACTTGAACAGGATCGACAGTATCTGCTAGCTTCTCTTGAGGCATTTGAACAGAGGTGGAAGCTTTTTTGTCGGTCGGAATCTATATCCGACGACTCAAAATGGACCGCGGTCCCCGAAGATCGACGACGGACGTTCGTCTCGGGTCTTGTCAATGATCTGGACGACGAAGAGTACAACCTCCGCGTCGAAGCCCTGTTCTCCATCTACTATATCTTAATGGGTACCTGGAGCACCACTTCCGGACTGGAAACGAAAGAGGCCGTCACTGACGAAGAATCTTTCCCCCACTCTGAAGATGACCGTTGGAATGTCGTTCAGGTTCAGTGGATGCACAGTGGAGCGGACATAATGGAGCAGTGTTCGGTTATTCCCCGTCTTTATGCTTGCTTGATTCATGCATCAAAGGCTCCTGACCTGACCCATCCCCCACAAGCCGCCGATGGTGAAGAGACAACCGAGGGAGCCTTTGGCGAGAACGAGTACCGAGAGCTCAGTTTATGCCTTTCTTGCTTCTATATTTTGATCGAGTCTTCCCGGGTTCGAATGGAAACAGCTGCTGGCCAGGCCATACGAAATTCCATCTCGGCCTTACAACCAAACTTCCTAGTCTTTCTTGTCGGCATGATTTCACGTTTACGATGGGACGAACTGTACAATATACCCCTCATGCATGCATTACAACTCTTCTGGAAGTCGATTCTACTATTGTTTGGGGATGTCTCGGGTCACCTGGACAAGGTCAAAAGCATATTACAACCGCGCGTGGAGCCATTTTCTGCAGAAGCCGCCCATCCCGTTCTCACAGCGTCTCCGTTGGATTATCACCTTTTTCGACAGGAAATCACCTCCAAATACCCGGCATACAATCCCCCGCCACCCATAATACCCTTGGAGATTGAGCAGAAGACCATGTTGCCTCCATTGTCAAACCAGTCTCGGAGTGATATCCATGGCTCTGTAGGGGGTAGTATGAGTGGTGCGGCAACCCGGGGATCAATTCTTCACCAACCCGTCCACATCGCTACTCCCGCCCCTTCACCACCCCCATCACCCATTGGTCCTGGTGGAAAAGCTGGTAAGAAACAGAACTATCAGACCAACCAGAACTTCCCGTTTCTCTATCCGCCACTGGATAGCACCAGCGACAATATCGGCGGAAAGGGATCGACAAGAGTTCAGGATATGATGGTGGGCAAGACGTGGGAAGGCAGTGATGTCCCTCTCTCTATTATCGAAGCGGGAGAACTGTTCGCTAGTCGTATGAGGATGACACGAGCAATGCGCCAACTTTGGAGAGAAAGAGATTTGTTCATGAAGTATGAAAGAGGCTGGAAAGGAGAGACAAAAGATGAAACGAAAGAAGACCAAGACGAAAAAAACGAGGAAGAAAAGGAACTTGAGACCCTCGAGGATCCCGACTTGCGTTCCCGTATGTTGGCAGTGGACCATTTCTTCCACCATGCTCTGCCGGATCTGCAATCTTTGGTCATTGTGATGATGAAAGTGATGCTCACCAACGTACAAGATATTGCTGTCCGCAATGGTGGTGCCCAAGAAGCCACGCAAACCGGGGGGCTGAATCGCACAAAGTCGAATTCTAACATGGCCCAGAACCAGACGTTACCCATGCCACCACCACCGCCTCGCCCCAACGAAATGACTCTGGAAGATCTGGATAATGTCCGCTCTCGAGAGATCAGCCAACAAGCAGTATCTGGCGCGTTGTTTCTCCTGTTGAAGTGGTTCAAGGTGTCTCACATTTTGAAGTTCGAATACATGACCCAGCTGCTTCTGGACTCTAACTACGTGCAGCTCACCTTGAAATATTTTGCGCATCAGAACCTGGAGGACCTCGTGGCTTTCAGGTACGACCGAGATGATCTAAGCGTCTGGCACTATTGTCATGTTCACTCCGACCATCCACCCTTGTCCCCAACCAGCCCGGACGAAAGGTCAGAAGCGTCAGATGGAGATGAGGCTATTCCCCCACCTATTTCGCGGCACAGAAGGTCACCGACCGCGCGATCCGAGGCCCAACCTACTATCGACCAAAACAATACACAACAACAGACGCAACAGGATCTAGATGCCGATGCTCGTCCCTCTGTCGATGAGCTTGGCAACCCGCTTGGTCCTCTCCCCACGAGCCCGATTACTACCTATTCATTTCGGCAGTTCCAAACCTCGATTCATTTGCTTCGAGTCCTACAAAAGCTGACGCGGGGGAAATCTCACCGCATCTTATTCCTCGTTCAATTTAAATCTTCTCAAATTTTGCGCCGGGTTCTGCGCGTACCAGACCCAACTCTCCGCTTATACGTACTCAAGTTGTTCAAATCACAAGTCCCTTATTGTGGTCGGAAATGGCGGCAAAGCAACATGCGGGTTATCACTGCAATCTACTTGCACTGCAGGCCAGAATTGAGGGACGACTGGTTGGCCGGGATGCACGATGCCAACGTGGAGGGGGAGGTCGACGAGGCAGTGCCGCTTGAGTGGGCGCTCAGAGGGCTTACCTTCTGGTGGCAGAAAAGGAGGTATCCGGACGTCACAAGGAAGGGGAAAAAAGGCTCGGAAGTAAAAGCCGAGGGTGATGTTGACGAAAATGAAGTTCGACTTGACGATATTGACGATGACGAACGCGACTTCTTTCAACGCGAATTGGATGCTATTGGATGGGGCCTGGCAGGGTTACGTATGGCTGATGGCTCGGAAGATGTTGTTTTTGGCGAAGAGGCAGCAGGTGTCAATGGAGCCTACCCCATGGCTAACGGCGAAATCAACAATCTCAACGCTGGCATGACAGCCTCGGGCGGCGCGGGGGGAGCCACAGGTGCGGGCCCAGGAACACCCCAGACCCCAATCCCCCAGCCGCAATGGGTTGTTGCAGACGCAGCCGCGCTGGACAATTGGCAAAACAGTTAGGGACTTGCTGGGAGACCGGGCACCAAATTTGGCGACTGCGATTTGCACGAAGGGGAGTGCAGCCATCAGGCACCAGATTCGAATGAGAGATGGTTGGGTCTGAATGAGGAGTTGCGAGACGTTTTGCGGAGGGTGAACCTAGATCGCTGGGAACCGGGGGAGTGAGATCTGGGGACTGCTAGACAGGCATTCAGATGCGACGACGAACAAGTTTCTGGATGGACCGCATCAGAAACTCGGCCAAGAGCAGCGTCCAAGTTAACTTCCCAAACCAGGGTCGGCTCGGTGTGCGTAGTCGGTGCTCTGGGTGGAAGAAAGCAGTTAGTAATCCTAGACTCAGCCTTGCCAGCCTCGGTATTCCCGAGGCCCCCGCGCGGAGCCTCGTCGGTTCCGCCCCTGTGGAAACCCGCAACAATTCTGGTCTTACTGAGACAAAGTGCATTTACGGCCGTTGGTCTTCCAAATAACGTTCTCCGCGTGTTTCGGCCGTTGCGGGTGTATGATTGTATATAGAATACAAGAGCCCATCCTCATACGCACTCCAGTCCTCACCTTCACCCTTGGTCTTCCGCTGTCAGATTAAGTGTCGTCGTGTTCACCCAATCCGAACCTCACCCCCAATAACGACCGCCCTCACCTTCGTCCGTAGCCCGCCCTCGATACAGACCTGAGCAGGAATCACCCACTTGCCATTCTCCCCTGTGCCCCTTCCTACGTGAACAACATGCCTCTCGCAAAACACGAATACCTCTCCTCCGTGTGGCAGTCGGACCTCTTCCGTGACAAAGTCGTCTTCTGCACCGGCGGGAACGGATCCATCTGCTCCGCGCAGGTGCGCGCTCTCGTCCACTTGGGTGCCAATGCCTGCATCGTCGGGCGCAATGTCGAGAAGACAATCTCAGTGGCCAAAGATCTGGAGACGGCACGTGCAGGAAGCAAGGTGTTAGGAATCGGCGGAGTCGACGTCAGAGATGTCCAGAGCTTGGGAAAGGCGGTAGACGAATGCGTCAAGGTTTTGGGGGGCATTGATTTCCTCATGTAAGAACTGCCTATATCCCATACGCCCGACTCTTCCCATGCTGCTTAGTCTTCACGCGGAATTGCTGTTTCAATCGCATGGTTGGCTGACAAAAGGTGCAAAAAGTGCTGGCGCAGCGGGCAACTTCCTGGCCCCCCTCGCCCAACTCTCCACGAACGCCTTCAAATCCGTCATGGACATTGACATTCTGGGCTCCTACAACATCACCAAGCTCTGCCTGCCCCACCTCGTCGCCTCTGCTAAGAAGCACAACTCATCGTCCTCCTTACCGAAACCAGAATCCTCAGGGCCGGGCGGCCGAATCATCTACGTGTCCGCAACAATCCACTACACCGGTCTGCCCATGCAGACGCATGTTGCTGTTGCAAAGGCTGGCGTCGATGCTCTTTCCGCAAACGTGGCGATAGAATACGGCCCTCTCGGTGTCACCAGTAACATTATCGCCCCAGGCCCGATCGCAGGCACAGAGGGAATGGACCGGCTTTCCCAACACCACAAGAGAGGAGGTGATTCGACGGGAAAACATGTGGGTCGCAGGATCCCACTGGGACGATGGGGGACGATCAAAGAAATTGCAGACGCGACGGTATATTTGTTTAGTGACGCGGCGAATTATGTCACTGGAGACAGATTGGTTGTGGACGGTGGCGCGTGGCACACCTCTGCTGGATCACCCGGAGGGGATTTCGAGTACCCAGACTTCATTCTGAGTGGAGCAGAGGTCACGGGTGTGGGTGGTATGAAGAAAAAGAAAGAGGGAGCGAAGTTGTAAATGGGGACTGAAGACAGGGAGGATACAGTGTTGTATAATATAAACTCTGGCCTGCTGGCTGCCGGAATTTCAAGAGCTGGTCAATTTGGCCTGGATATCGGGGCTTCTTCCACCTGAGGGTGAACAGAACGGCGCGAAACATGCTGGGTGCGTGAATCCTTGTGTTATTCCTTGAAGAGCTCAAAATAAGGAGGCTCAACAAAGCTCTTTTCCCGGGATGGATGCATATAGAGTGACGCTGAGGATGAGATCTCGAGAATAGTTCATATCCACAGCAACATCTTTTCAACGTCAAACTGACGCGTCGAAGATACACTCAAGATTGATGGAGAGACGATCCTTTCTCCCACATAGTCCTCGTAGAACGTTCGGCTATGAAGGCAACAATGAAACTATGTAGCATCTCGAAGGGCGGCGGATTCGGCTGGAGCAAGCGTCGCCGGCTGATTACCGAGTACACACATATTGACCCACAAGCCATCTGTTCCCGTGTAGGGTCTTCTCTTCTTCATGAAACCCATCTCTTTTGATCATCCTTCCACAAGGTACCATTGTCGCTGCTGTCTTCTTGCGAGAATGGAGTGCCAGGCGGGTGAAAATGCGCTCTATCGAGTTCGTGGTCAGTCCTACGACGATGGAAATATGGCTGTCAGCAGAAGCAGGCTCGTTCGTTGACCTCCCCTAGGATTCCCATCTTCTTCGCTGTGTCATACTGTGACCGTGCTTGTGTTCGTGATGGAGGCCATGGATCCAGTGTCGGGCCTGCGCCCAACCCCTCGAGGGGCTTCACGAGGATGATGTGCGTTGAGTTGGTTTTTCAGTTGGGCCTGCCTCGGAGGCGGTATTGTGGTAGGTGCGTTGAGATGTTTCTTCTGGCCGCCGTGGAAGGACCAGCTAGTCTCGCAGGTCCACGGCGTCAGGAATCTCACTGATTTCGTCTCTCACAGAAGTAGCTCGTACTACCGTCACAGGTACAAGTTCAGTCTCCGACCGCTCAGGCTGTGCGACAGCCGCATCGCCCAAGGGGGGGATGTGGCTTGATCATGTGGCGGCGGCTTCCAGCTCATCACATCCTACCAGCGCTACGGGGGGTCGAACAACTGCCACCCCAGGCAACTGGGCACAAGACGCAGGGCAAATAACGATGACTCCAGCGCACTGAGCTCCAGCTCATCAGCCTAACGCCATCGGCTTTCGATAGCTAGGCCTCGACCACTCCGCCCCCCCGGTCCTCTTCATAAATTACGCGAGCCTCTTCTCACCACCGTCATGGATCTTGTCTCTTCAAGGAACCAGCCTTGTTACCGTTGATAAAGCTCACTTTCCAACAACATTGAGGTCTGGAAGGGTTCACAGTCTCATGAAGTATGCCGCATCTACGCGACCCTGCGCGCCTATGGGCAGCCCTCGTCAACAGGAAGGACCATGCGTTTCTCGTTCTAGAAATCCTCGGTCGGCTGTGGCCAAGGAGCCTTCAAGATCCACCTCTCGTCGACGAGGCTTACATCAAGGATATTATCCTTTTAAAGACCATCTTTGATGTCCAACGCACCCGCATTCGCTTCAACCCTCCAAACCGTTTCATTCTCTCACCAGATGACTTTCTGAGTTGTCTCAACTGTCTCTCCCAGGCAGCAGCACCACTGCGCCGAAGTGGTGAAGTCGGCAACACACCCACTCGAGGTTTCGTGGACATATTTCAGCAGGTGTTCTTTTCGGGAATCCGGGCAACCGCTCTTGCCATTGAGCGGCAGAACGATCGAATGTCAGCACGACAAAGGATGGCCTCTCAGCTCGAAAATTGCATCAGACAATGGCCATTGAGAGATCTGCGTGGCCCAGGAAGAGACTGGAGTTTGGCTATCTTCAAAGGTGTCGTTGATGATCTCATTGAGATCAAGAATTCCAACAGTTCTTGCGTTGAGCATATTGCGCTGGATGTGCCTGACCGCGAAAATGTAAGCGCCGACTCGTAATCTCATTCAAGGATAAACTGACACCATTGGTAGTTCGCTCTCACATTCGATCTGTCGAAGTCTGTACCTGAGGCAGTTGCATGTATTAGTCGGAGATGCAGATACGCATACCGAAGCGTACTGGTATTACTGGACTTGAGATTGATGCTGATATCCGCATGCTTCCAATACGCGAGCAGTGACTCAAGCTCCATGTTTTCCATCAACGCTTCAGAAAGCACCTTAGGGAATCCTGGTCCAACTTTCACCACAGACGAGCTCACCGGGGTGCTTCAGAAGTGGAGGGCTCTTGGTTCCTTCTTTGAACCCTTCCAGCATACCGATGAAGGACGGTCCCTATCGACTTTTCTAAACTATATTGAGCCTGGCTTGCCCTTCGGAGAAGGCGACGAAAACATCGGCTGGATGAGCACAGCGATTGGTATGAGAGCTTCCTCGGCCAATACAAGCACACAATTACCTCCCTATCAGAGAATCGCCGAGGATCTCGAACGCCGCAACCTGAAGGTTTTTGACACAGAAGGGCCTTTGTTGCGTGTCTACAATCACTTGTCTGAGCAGATCCGAACGTGGACTCCACCTCGAGCTGATGTTGCCCGATCACACAGTCTTGAAAGTCCAGACGTAACCTCTCAACAAGCCATATATGTGCTCGGCTGCAGCAAGCTTCATCCAATAGACTTCGCGATGCTCGCGGACTGTATCGTGTGCAGTGGTCGAGAAGTAAGTAAAGTAATCATTGATAGCAGAGCTTATTCTAAACCCTAGTAGGTACCCGAAGACGGTCAAGATGTCGTCGACGTCTGTTTTGATTGTCCATTCCCCCACCCTGAGAAGACCACAGTCCGGAAAGCCAGAAGGGTCACTCCGTTGTGTGAAATCTACGAAACTCTGCACAAGCTGGTTAGCCTCAATCCTGAGTCAGAAGAGCTTATTCTGGAAAGAGAAGATGCCCACCTAGAGAATGAACAACTCTTAGAGAGTCCAACTGGGAGTAGAGAGGCTCTTTCGAGCGACCAAGGAAGCGTGAACACATGCCCACAGCCTCCTACGCCCCGAACTCCATCTATGAACTCACTTCGCCAATCTTCAAGAACGCTAGGATTCTTTGCAGACATAGCATCATCCTTAAAGCCTTCGAGCAAGCTCAAACCCACTATTCACAAGCACAACAAGTCTGAATCACCTCCATCTCTCCCTCCCCTCCAGTCGGCGCTTAGCCCAGATGGTTCGAACTTGATCGTCTGGTCTTCAAATCGGATCTGTCGCTCACCTTTGAATGGCGGTAGCTCTCGCCTGGAAGGGGAGAAGTTCCTGCACGACATCATACTTGCAGCCACTGGTGCTTCTCACTTTGCTACTGTCACTCAGGAAGAGCCTAACAAATCTTTCCAACTTTCTCTCTTCAGTGCTACTGGCAAATTAGCAGGGGAAATGCCATTCGACAAGCCTCCACAAAGTCTAGCCTTTTCGTATGACGGAACCAAGCTTGCTGTCGCTGCAATGACCGAACTGCGGATCATCTCAACTGCGACGCCCAGCATGCGCTCATATTGCAGTCAATCACTTGTACCGAACACGAAATCCAACTTGCACATCATGCAAAAGGCGGATTCGGCATTCTGGGGCAAAGTGCGCCAGCAGAGGGTATCGTTTTCCACAGATCAGCGTCGAGTCCTTGTAGGAACGCAGTATCGTGATGACGAGGGAAGTACTCTGTTCTGGCTTTTCAACATTCCCCAACACTTAAATGGAAACCTCTCCCACCGCATTAGGTTTGAGAAGAAGATAAAAGTGGTAAGCGACAGACTTATTCTTACCGGACTGATGCGTCATTCTAGACATGACTGACCACGAGCCAGGAATCGTCGGAGCCTGGACTGACGGCTCTGCCGTGCTTTCACACTACTGGACAGACAACCTTCATCATTGGTGCTGCTTCTGCTCACAGTCACCAACCGTCTGTAGAGTCAATTGAGCGCACTCAAGCTGGCCCTCAACAGATTATTGGGCGGAACTTATCCATTGACCGTGTCCACCGTGCCATCGCGATGCCTGGAGGAAGCCCATGCTTTATCATTGTCAATGAGGAAACCAATGTCTATCTTATTCGCAAATCCAGCAGGCCGAATGAATGGGAAGCAGAGCACGTCTCTACGAGTATATCGGAGGGCCTCAGTCCTTTCGAGCGAAACAGCAACCGTCCGGGAATTGGGGTTCAAATCGCAGCATCAAGCGCAGGCGAAGTTGTAATTTTTCATATTAAGAACGACAAGGGCTATCTCACTCGATATTGTGCCTGGAGTCCTCCGCAGACACATCAGCAAACCATCCCTCTCAACGACCTCTACCCGGTGGCAATGGATCCTGGGCACCCTGCTACATTGCCAAATAGCTAGAAGCGGCAAGGGACCAACAGCCCTTTATTTAAGCCATACCCAACCCCATTCTCCAGTTTTGATTGCTCTTGTTCTCAGCCTATCCTCCTTTTCAAATCGAAGCCTATCTCGACCAGCTTTGGGGTTATTGATATCCATTTCAACAGGATATCTGAGGTTCATGGTCGGACGCAGTCGAGGTAGAAGTTGACGGTGTAGATGCCAACGGTAGAGTATACAAAGAATAATGAATATGGCAATCTATTCAACGTCAGAGTTTGGACTTTCAAGGCTTGTTCCTCACTTCATGATCTCGGCAGGCTCACGCTGATGTAGGATGCCACAAAATCTGGCGGACTGAATGGAATGATCGACCGCCAACCATTGAGGACGATCATCATGGTGCTTCCGAAGAGGGCATAGCACGTTCGCAAAGGCTGCCAGTTTGATCGGTACGGATAAGTCTGGGAATCCTTCCTTCGGGAGTACGCCCTCAGATTCTGCTGCGGCTCAATAAAGTCTGTACCTCGGAATTGGCCGGTGGATGCTTGTTTGATGCTGGGAAATGTCAACTGAATCCATACCGAAGGCATCGAAACCCACATTGCTTTGTACCTCAGGAAGGTCACGCAGATCACTGCGTAGACGATGAGCATCGAGACTGTCGAGTTGAGGGCGAGTCGGCCCAATTCCTTTTCCATGTCAGCCTCGCACGGACCTGGAAATTTGTTTACTCACATGTGAAGGCGTGGTACCTGCCGCCAAATATCCGAGAAAACCAAAAAGCCAACTTATCAACACCGCATTGCGTGGAACCCCCTTGGATCCGGTCTCTTTCAGACGGTTCTGCACCGTTCTTAGGCACCTTGGCCATGCACCTTGGGAGAGAGCAAGTGCATGCAAGACGCGAGACGACAAGTACAATGAATTGATACCGGAAGATGTTGCAGATAGGATGAAGAACCCGTTGAAGAAGTTTGGCCAAAACTTCTTTCCCGCCCGGATTGCAGCAATGACGAATGCAGAATGAGTTCCGTTGTCCAGGACAGAGATATCTCGGTTCGCTAGCAGTGGCTCATCGTACGGCACATTCAATCCGACCGTGAAGGTAGTGAGGCTGTAAAGCAAGATGATCCGGATGGCGATTTTCCTGCTGGAGATCTTGACGCCTTCATAGGTACGGAGCTCTCGGTTCTCGGCGGCAGTGATCGTGACGGCTTCAAACCCGATCATAGAGAATATGGTCAGTGTCATCGCCGTCCAAACGCTCGCAAGGTGTGCCCAGCCGCCGGTCTGGACGGCACCGCTTGGTGTTGTCCATCCATGTGAGATGAATCCCCATGGGCTATTGTAAAAGCGAAAATGGTTTCCCGTCTCGATATTGATACCGATATTGAAGAGTATCAACCCAACGATGAACAGCATTTTCATAACACCAATCCAGTACTCAAGTTCACCGAACCACCGCACACGGAGGAGGTTGACAAGCAGTACAAGGACGAGGAAGATTGATATCCAGACGGCAGGGTTGACGCTGCTAGTTCCCCACTCTAGCGAGTGCTCTGGATAGTGCAACCTTTCGAGATCTGACGACTTGAATCCGAATTGGAAGAGTCCTGCTACTCCTTGCAATTCTGCGGCAATGATAACAACCCACGCGAACCTGTTGCCATCAGTGTCAGGGCATGGTAGACGGGGGGAACAGAGTCACCATGCTGTCCACCCTACAGCATATCCAATTGATTGATCCAAAAACCTACAGGGCATTTCGAACAACGCCCCTGGTACTGGGAAAAGCGCTGACATTTCTCCGAGAGCTGCTTGTACGGACCAGACGATCGTCCCCATCAATGGGTATGCCAACCACGCCATTCCTGGTCCTGCAAGGTTTATAATCCTGCCATTCTGCAGGAAGAGACCTATGCCAATGACACATGAAAAGGTGATCATGTTGACGTGCCGCTCTCCAAGGTCTCGTCTAGCCTCTGGTCAGTCTCCAGCCTCACGAGGGAATCCATTGTACGCACCTAAGAGATGTGGTATCCTTTTGTCCGACAGCACCATTATATATGATCTCCTCATCGCTTCTGTTGGACCTCTCTGTGCTTTCAGACTGTCTTCCGGGTTCGACAACGTCGACATCAGGCTGAGGAATATTATTTGCTGGCTCATTCAGCAATGATAAACCTCCTGGGTTACCAGGCTCTCCAGTGTTCGTCCGCATAACTCCCAAATTGTATGCCTCACGCGGTGTTGCCATTATTGTGTTGGAATTGAGATGAGAAGCGCAGGGCCCTCATGGCTGGCCGGCTGAGTAGCATGTCTTATCACCAAGGCACAGGGTGAACGAGGCGTTGAGGCCGAGAAATTGAAATTGTTGCCCAGGATGGTCGTCTTCGCGGTGGCCTGGGATCCCACTTGGGAGAGCAGTGGTTCGTGGCTCAGATCACATCACAGTCCTGTGCATTTTGCGCTAGCAATAGGGGTCCTCTTCTTTCGACAGCTTTGCTGCCTGAAATTCGTATTTGTGGTGTCCAATTCTGAAACTCATGTGGTCTAGATTGTCCCGTCACACCTATATCCTGCTTGATTGGTGGACACGGAGCGCCACATTCTCAGCCTGACTGGAATCTGTGCCTTCTCGAGGACTTTCGGTCAACACATGCTCCGTTGAGCCCGATGGAAACGCCAGGGTCAAACAAAAGTGCCAGGGACTTTCACGTTTGGCTGTTTCCTAGGCGCATCTCTGCACACCGACATTCAGAAGGGGGCTCTTGAATGGGCGAGAATACGGGAGGGCGCCATCCCGATCACGCGTCGAACAGCAAATTGAAAAATGTCTATTCCAGACCCCCAGAATTCCTACCGTGTGAGTTGATTTCCATCATCTCAACGAGGGCCGTACTTCCTTGAGCTCTCACATACTTCGCAAACGATGGAGGCAACCTCCGGCGATTCTAGTACAAATCCTCGAAGACAACCAACTTCAATTTCACTCAATGAGCAAGGGTTCCTATCGGCCCTCTATTGTGAACAATGTGGACTGCAGAGGGATATCAAAGATCTGGCACTCTGCTCACGCTGCAGCTATGACCTCGACCCCGAGGAAGCTCGGTTGTATTATTGCATCAACCATTGCCACAGAGATGAATGCGGACATGCAACGAGCTGCGAGCTCGAGGGGCACTCTTCCTGTTGGTATAGCCACTTCTCAGGCTTACGTCAAAAGAGGCACGGGGACCATCGGAAATACAGTGCCTTGGCCGATGGTTGCATTCAAGTTATCATACCCCCAAATATTGACGATTGCGCTCAAACAAACCATCATCAACTCGATCAGGAAGCAGAGTGGTTTCGAGTAACTATGGCCAGCCAGACAGCGCAGGGTGAACAGCCCATCCTGCAGGTTTCTGACCGCTTCAAAAATCTTTGCAATCCAGGCGCCCATTACAGCCTTGGACAGTACCCAAGCCTGGTTTCTTTCATTGGGGACACTGGAGTAGGGAAGTCAACTCTTGTGCGCGCAATGAGAACAGTTGGAATTGTCGACCAGATGCAGGCCTCAGGCGTTATGGACTGGAGCCGAATATTCAAATGCCAGCGCCGTGGCCCGGTCACTAGATCGACCTCCGAGATGAAATCAATGCGTCCGACGTCGGTCGGCGTCCACCTCTACCGGGACCAAGAGCTAGCACACGCTAATGACGACCATGGCAACCAAGATGATGTGCCAATTCTCTATGCGGACTGTGAAGGGTTTTCCGCCGGCAGCATGAAGACGGACGCCGAGAGGAGTACCACTGCCAGAATTCCCCTCCCCTCTAGGGCACGCGGTGTATCCGCCAGTTCACAAGTCGCACAATCCAGACCGCTTTCTGAAGCGATTAGCCTTCCAGAAGCTCATTCGACTGTTGGCATGGAGGGTCATCTCCTGATGGAACTTGTCATCAAGACCCCCGGCTTCAAGGAATTGGGAAAGACAAGCGCTGACGTATTCTATGCGCGGTTTCTCTATGCGTTCAGTGATGTCGTTGTGTTTGTGGTAAACCAGCCACAGAAGATGAAACGGGAGATGCAGCGGCTGCTCGAGTGGGCTGTGTCTGCGGTGAGAACATCGGTACGGAGAAGCTCACCGAGGACCTTACTTGTTGTCCTGAATGCACCAAAGGAACATCATGACTCTTTCTACGAGGATGTCGACCTCAACCATGAGAGGTTTCAAGATTTTGGCGAGATCTGGGACGATTCCCGGATATTGAAGGAATACAAGAACGAGCACGACCAGAATTGCAAGTGGATGGAGGACAGAATACACGATAACGATCAGTACTTCGGACTCTTCTTCCGCGAAACAAAGATCTGTTACATCCCAAGCATAGGTTTGCAGAAGAGACAGCCGCCCGATGGCGTATATAAGCAATACTCTCACCTTCGCAAATTGATCGTCGACGGCGTCCAGTCGGCTCAAAAAGCCAGATCCAAATCCTACTTCCGGCAGAACGTGGCATCTGCAATTAACCTGACGAATCGAGCGTTCAGACATTTTGCGGAATACGATGAACCCTTCGATTTCCATGTCGCCGCAAGGAGAGACAATCCTACTCCCATCTCCATTCCGGGCCACATCGCAAATCTACTACGCCATCTAGGAACCACTGTTGAGAAATTCGCCAAATTTGAGGTCATTGTTGCTATCTGCTTGGTTGCCTATAACTACAGGTCTTCGACGCTCGGTAAGTCGATGTGTACACGGACGGCGTGTGTAAAATGCTGACTGGGAGAGGCCGCGAACCCGATGAAATCTTTGATGACGGCTTGGGGGAACTATGTCTCAAGGGACTCCAGCTCTATCAAAGGCAATTCTTACGGTGCTCTCTCTGGATGGGCGATGGTACCAGATGCGTCAACCACGCGTACAACCACGATCGCCACCAAAGTGAAAAATGCCTCATCTGGAATGGCTCGATTGACCGCTCAGCCTTTGAGAAGGAAACGTCTGATGTAGTTGCTGGCATTAGGAAATATTTCAATTGCTTCTATTCGGAACTTTGGAAAGCCAGTGCTCCGACTCTCGAAAGCTCCTCCGCGCTTAGACGCAGGATCCTTGGGAATGATCACGATCCCACAAATGCTCCCCTCACACGCGTCGTTACTTTCAATTCGGACAATTTCAGTCGACCGACTGCAGTGTGGTCAACTGTGAAAAGCAATATGACCTGCTTTGCTTGTCTGCAATACTCGCCCGACCATGTTCTCCCCTGTGGACATGGGTTTTGTGAGGACTGCGTAAAAGACTTTGGTGAGGCTCTTCCACAGAAGAGCTATCACTACGCCATGCGGGAATGCATTTTGTGTCGCACCACGGCAATGCAGTGGCACGACCAACAGAGCGCGCGACCAGTCGCACCGGGCAGATCACCAGAAGTGCCTCCCATGCAACCGCAAATTGCCAGACTCAACCCTCGATGCGGAGGCATCAGAATACTCACGCTGGATGGTGGCGGAGTCAGGGGTATTATTGAGCTAGCTCTAATCCAGAAGATCGAGCAGAGGACAGGCTTGGGGCTACCGATCGCAGAATTCTTCGACTTGGTCGTTGGCACCAGCACAGGTGTGTATTTACAGAATCACCATGGCGGATGAGCTGACCACACCATCAGGGGGTATCATATCACTGGCTATTGCCTGTTTGCCAGAAGCGAATAAGGCAGCTGAGCTTTCTTCCAAGTTCCTCAAGCTGGCCCAGAGAGTTTTCGAAAAAGACCGCTTCGGCGAATTCTGGAAAGTCGATCCTCTCAAGCTCTTTGACAGGTCCAAGGTCGCAATTGTCATGATGACTCTCCGTCTTATTAAGAGTCGCTACAGGAGCTCGAATCTCAAGGCTAGCTTGCTTGAGTTTTTCGACCAGGATCAGCCCATATTTGGCGGAGCCGTAACTACCCACAAGCAGAGAATAACACGGGTTGCAGTCACGAGTACAAGCGATGGCGAGCCTTGCCTCTTCACGAATTACAGTCGGGCGTCTTACGATCGCGAAGACCTTTCCGAACGCGACGACTTGGTGGAAAACAAGGGGTTTGAGCGGCAGGACAACCCTGACAATGAAGCCTGTGTTTGGGAAGCGTATGTATGCCTCCTGTCAATGTGCGACTGGTGTCTCGGCTGACGAGGAATTCCAAGGGCCATGGCAACGTCCGCCGCACCAGGATACTTTCGTGAATGGCGAATCGACGATCCAGAAAACCGGAGACAAGGACAGGTCCCTTTCAGAGACGGTGCCTTGCACTCTAATCTCCCTGTCCAATGTGCCCTCGAAGAGCAAAACAGGATCTGGCCAGCGCACAGAGGCTATAAGAAGCCCCTGGACATCCTGGTCTCTTTGGGTACCGGTAAACAGCTGAAAGAAACGAACATACCCAGCTGGATGAAATTCGCAGGCCTTGCGGATGTTGCGGCAGCCTATTACAAGAACGTCGTCAATACAGATACCGTCTGGGAGGCATTTGCCAAGAGCCAGAGCAAGAACTTTTCGCCTCATCGCCACTTCCGCCTGACTGTCGATCTGCATGAGCCGGTGGCGCTCGACGATTGGAACAAGATGCGCAATCTCGAGGAGATAGTCAGCAAGGCGTACATGGCTTCTGAGAAATCCAAAAACCCCAACGGTCTCTGGAGCCAGGTCGAGACGATAGCGTACAAGCTCACGGCCTCGCTTTTGTTCTTCGAACCTGACCGGATTGAATATAGCCATGTGCGCAACAGAGGGAGAGAGGAAATACGTGGCCGCATTCTCTGCCGGTTACAGACGCCCAGCACGGCGATCCGCAATCTAATCTATCGCATTGAAGGATTCTATCACCAGACCGAAAACCGGCATGAGACAGCCATTCCGATACGAAGAGGTTGGAAGGAGACTCTTTTGCAGGTCGAAAGGGATAACAAGCCATTCGAGATCCCCTGCGGATTGGACGACACGGAGGGTGACACCGCTCCGCAGAGCTTGCTCGTAAAGCTGAAGCCTCCAATGGAGGCGGGACAGGCGGTTTCATGGCCCATTAGCGGATTTCCTATGACACATAAGGAGCTGAAGGCGGGCATGTTACAGAGAGGGATTCGTGAGCAAAATGTCTTGTGACGAGATAGAGTCTGAATGATATGATCACTACCACTTAAAGGGTCGAGGCCAAAGGGGTATTGGAGCGTAGGATGAAGATGAGGAGGATGAGTTGAGGTTGGAATTGATAGGCGGGATTACGTAAGGCGGCGGTAGAAACTGGCCAACAACTGGCCGGGCAGCCGAGCGCAGGCACCGCAGCTTCGCAACATCGTCGTTGGTCTGCGAGCTTCCCATCACTCCAGACCGTTCCTTGCTTCCAGTTCATTCCCGTCCGCTATTCCTCCTACATCCTCCATCCATATCAGCTCCCAGGTTGTCGAATACCGAACCATACTCAGCTCGGACGACACACTACGAGTGGTCTGACCCCGCCATTGACGCGCCTGCCGGAGATCCTCCACCGCTCCAAGTAGCTGCGATCTTCGACTTTCCCAGACCTGAACACAACCACCCTACAGCAACAGAGCCGCAGCGATGCCCTGCCCGATAAGCATCACCAAGTTTGTGGGGACTATCTCCCTCGGTCTCTTGACGGTGCGTTGGTCCAACTCCCATCCTGTGCCGCTTCGGCAACCACGACTGACAGCTTCCTGACAGGGGACATCCTACACTCTCCAATCCATAACTCTACCCTCCCTTGCACTTCTCCCCTCCGCATCTCTGGCGGCACGCACTCTTGCCACAATCCAGACCCAGTCAACACGGCAGATCCTCACTTTGGCGTCCATCTCCTCGTTGTCTCTGATTACTGCATACACCCTCGCAAGCCCACGAGGCCGTCATCCGTACCTCCTCTGGACTGCCCTTGTGAGCTTCATTGGGGGACAAGGCGTCGAGTATTGGTTTAACGGCTTCTCACGCTTCCCATCATGGGCCATCAGCTCTCGATCAAGTGGACACGGACAGAGCGGACATGTGAAGGCCTCGAGAGTCGCAACCCCCTCAGCGAGTGACGAGAGCGGATATATCGAAGTGGAATCAGATAGCAGTGAAGAGCATCAGGTGAACGGCGAAAAGGTCGAGATGGAGATGATCCGGGAACGCAAGGTGCAGAAGGTCCGAAGTTGGATTGCCGGAATTGGGTTTGCAATGGGCGTTGTGGGTATCTGGGGTGACGGGGCTTGAATCCCTACTCAAGAGCACGTGGAGAGGTACGTGCGGACTGCTCGCATGATGTGAACGGAGACGTGGAATCCGGGTTTACGAGCTGTACAATGAGCGTGCAGATGGTGCCTTGGACGTTTCTGGCTCAGCTTCTGAAGACGAGGTGCGGTTAGCAGGAAGAACAACACGATGGAATATGCTCTGCAACATTACCGGTGGCGGCGGGTACCATTGATGGAAGAAAAATGGTACTTTATTCAGCAACACAAAATACACAGCAGCGGGGCTTCTAGCCTCACCTACCTTCGACCTTATACCGGCATACCTTACTCGACTCGATCAAAGAACCCCCTCTTTTTGCAACATGTGTCCGATATCAGAATGCTTGTTGAGAAGAGGAATTTCCCACTCCAAAACACCATGGCCTTCCGACGAGGATCATCTGCGCACTGGCTGGCTTGCATGGCTCTCGCGGCGTTAATAAAGGCTAGATCAACTGTTCTATGTACCCCTAGGAAGCTCTTATGATGCCGACACGAGAAAAGTTCAAATCCTCCGATCCCTATTCATCATCAGTAGGCAATAGCTCGTAGTCCTGCGGTTTGATGGAGGGTTGCTGGGGTCGTGTTGAAATGCAAGCCGCCCTATCACGACCGGACGCCGGCTTATCCTGTAACATCCATTTTCGGACTAGTACTAGAGCTAGAGAGCCACCTTAACTTGCCTTCCGGCTGACCTGCTGTTTCCTGAGTATTCCACAAGCAGCCTGCAAAGCTGTCTAACCCTTTTAGTCGTCTCCCTTTTTCTTCAGTACCCGCAACACGAACCAGTTAAAGGAAAGCGTTCCATACACTCTGCGACCCCATGGAATGGTTGGCATCGCAATGGCCTGTCATCCGCCCTAAGTCTGGCGCTGCTACCTCGGCCTCCTGCTCATGCGTCGAATGGTTCCATATCTCGATCGTAATTCCGACTCTCCTGAAAGGGAGGAATATTGGACCAGTGCCCGAGGCTCTGTGGGCGATGCTGGTGATTGATTCGCTCAATCACAACCTTTCTAGACATCTTTGTCGGTCGGCTCAGAGAATCCAGCAAATATATTAACCACTGTGTCGAGATAAACCGGCGCCTCGATCGCAGATGTTCTGTTGTCTCCGGAATCCGCTAGGCCGTGATACGCGGGACCGCCTTCTTAGCAAACCTCAGGTGCAATAACCGGCGAAGTTCAGGTATTTGCATCGCTACCACCATTTAGATACAAAGCCACATGGGACCCGCATTGTGGGTCAACAACCATCCAAGTCACCGTGATTGGAAGGCTACTACAGATAAACGTGGGCTCTCGTCGGTAAGAATCCGATGCCGAACGGACGACTTGTCTTTCACTCATATGAATGAATTGCTCCTGTCTCTGCTCTTACGAGTCTCGTCATGGTTGCGCTTTGTTGACCTCTCAACATCGCCCACGAGAATAATCATGGCAAATCACACCGCAACTAGTCCTCCGCCGTCTCCCTCGTTCATCTTGTCCTATCCCGCGCCTTTCGTCCTCCTGGTCACCATCAATCGCGAGCGGGCTATGAACTCCGTCGATGCAGCAGCCCACTGGCAGGCCGAATCTATCTTCGACTGGTACGACCAGGAGCCCTCCCTTCGCGTCGCCATAATCACGGGGGCAGGCAGAAAATCCTTCTGTGCTGGTGCAGACCTCATTGAGCAAGGCAAACTCAACATGCCGGATCAAGGCGGGCCAGGAGCACCACACAGAGCACTGCAGAGGTATCCGCCTGGGGGATTCGCCGGGATCAGTCTCGCGACACATCGGAAGAAACCCATCATTGCGGCAGTAAATGGATATGCTCTAGGCGGTGGGTTCGAGATTGCCCTGAACTGGTAAACAACGGGATGCCAATCTAGACAACAATGTGATCAGTAATCCGCTAATCAAGATACTCTAGTGACATGGTTGTTGCATCTCCCATGGCGACATTTGGATTACCAGAAGCCGCGCGTGGACTCGCCGCGAACGCTGGGGGCCTACCACGGCTGATGCGCCTATGCGGGCTTCAGATCGCCTCCGAAATCGCTCTGACAGGCCGAAAACTGTCGGCGGAGGAAGCGCTCCGATTGAACCTCATCAATAAGATTTCCAACACCCCAGATTCGGTTGTGCAAGAGGCCGTCGAGCTGGCTCAGCGCGTGGCTAGCTATTCTCCGGATGCGATCATTGTGTCGCGGTTCGCCATCAGAGAGGCCTGGCAACAAGCCAGTGTCGAGCAGGCGAATCGAGTGACACAGGACCGCTTCGCTAAGGCGTTATACAAGGGCGAGAATGCCCAGATTGGGCTGGATGCGTTTGCTCAGAAGAAGGAGCCCCAATGGCGCCCTTCGAACCTTTAGCGTTCAGTTGCCCGGTTGTGTTTCCACTAATAGCTGCCCAGGAGCACTGAGTGCTCCCAAAACCGTGGGATGATAAATGGTCTAGAATCCCCGACTAGAAGATCCATCGTCCATTAGAATACCGGGCTCGGCATTCTTCGTTCGGAACTTGCTTTTGGACGGACGTGTTGAGATCGTCTTACCAAGACCGGCCCTACCCATTCTCCCCCTTCTCAGCCTTCTCTCTCGCGTGTCCCATCCTAGTTTTATTGGCCAGAAGACCATTTCGGCCTTTCCAACTTCCTTAGCAGTCCGTCCTCATTTTGTTCCGTGCCGTCCTTCCGCGCAACCTCCACTGGAGATGGGGGTTGAAATTTGCTAGTCAGATACGACAACCGCCCCTCGGCGTGGCCAGGTCATAGAGTTGCCACCAACGCAACGGAGGGATTCCGATGTATTCGGTCTCCACCGCATCAGGCTCATCTCTCCATACGGCTTAATGACCGCCTTCTCTGCCAAGCTCACTGGCCAGGCAGGTCAACTGGATCTACGGGATCAAGTATTACCAGTCTACTGCATTCTGATATCACTTTTTCTCACTACCTGCTTTTCTGTTGTCGGAACGGTCTTGACCTTTAGGACAATGTACGCCTTTTGATGCACCTCTTGTAACACTTTTGCAAGCACCTTATCTTTGGACCATCATGGGCTCTTCCTCCGCTTCCCCTGCGTCGAGCTCAGGGCGTCTCGCACAAATTCACGGTCAGCTGAGCGGCCAAAGCACTCGAAATAAGCAAGTACAAGATGTCTACATATTGAGCGCCGCACGGACTCCCACGGGAAAGGTGAGCAAGGAGATATCCTTCCATTCCCATCATTCGCGAGGCTAAGCCTAGTCGTAGTTTATGGGAGCACTGGCCACCGTATCTGCTCCCAATCTAGGTGCGGTCGCTATCAAGGCAGCCATTGACAAGTCCAACGTCCCCCCTGGCAGGATTACCGACGTATATTTCGGCAATGTTCTTCAAGCAGGGGTTGGGCAGTCACCAGCGCGGCAAGCCACCTTGTTCGCAGGCCTCTCCTCTAGTACCGAATCCGTCACGGTGAACAAGGTCTGCTCCTCTGGCCTCAAGGCTGTGGTCCTTGCCGCGCAAAACATCCAGCTGGGGCTAGCAGAAGCTCAAGTCGCCGGCGGTATGGAGAGTATGTCCAACGTCCCGTACTACCATCCCCGGGCGTCGCAGATGCCCCGATTTGGCGACCTGAAGGCTCAGGACGGCCTCATTCAGGACGGCTTGTTGGACAAATACAACCAAATCCACATGGGCGTTTGCGCCGAAAGAGCTGCTGAAAAGTACGGAATCACTCGGCAAGACCAGGATGCTTATGCGATACGGAGCTTCGAACGGGCCCAAGCGGCGTGGAAAGCCGGGAAGTTCAAGGACGAGATTGCCCCTGTGACCGTGAGCGGCGCCAAGGGAGGTAGCACGGTCGTCACGGAGGACGAGGGCTACAACAGCCTGAAGAGAGACAAAGTGCCGACCCTGAAGTCTGCCTTTGTCCCAGGCGGGACGGTAACGGCCGCCAATTCTTCCACCATGAACGACGGTGCGAGTGCGGTGGTGCTTGGGAACGAGGCAATAGCGCGAGAATTCGGCGCTGGGAGCAGGGTCCTTGCGAGAATCGTCAGCTCTGCGGATGCCGCTCTCGACCCGGTTGAGTACCCGGTCGCCCCGGCCAAAGCAGTCCTCCTGGCTTTGGAGAGGGCCAAGCTGGAGATAAGTGACATTTCCATCTGGGAAATCAACGAAGCGTTTGCCGCTGTGGTGAAGGCGAACGAACAGGTAAGCCGGTCTACAGCTTCCACCTCTCTCTCTCTCTCTCTCTGTGAGCCCCTTCGGATAGAGCTAAAGTCATAACCCAGATCCTCGGTCTCCAAGACGCCAAAGTGAACGTCCTGGGAGGCGCAATTTCATTGGGACACGCCCTCGGAAGCTCTGGCGCGAGGATCCTGACCACATTACTCCATCAGCTGAACGTTGGTGAGTATGGCCTTGCTGCTCTGTGTAATGGGGGCGGCGGGGCCACTGCCATCGTCGTGCAAAGGCTCGATAGGGTCTAATAACTCTAAGATGGGAGAAGTCTGTTCTTCCATATACAGCTAGGTCACCAATTTAACGTTGGTCAATTCAGTTGATTGGGAGCAACACTACTAGAACGTAGCATTTCCTGGGTAGTCGTCACGATATCTGAGGGCTCGCCGAAATGCACCAAGTCTTGTTAACGTAGGTTGGCAATATCCTCATACAAAGCTATCTGTGGAGGCTGTACAAGCGAAAAGGCGTGAGGTTCCTGTTGATATTTGTACATACACAACCCAGACGGCTAAATGTCAGGCACCACAGGTAGATAGACACTTGGACAGACAATCACCACTTTGATTAGAATACTAGCTCTGTTCCAACTCAACCCTAATAAGCTAAATTTCTCCAGTCTCATCACGAGTTTGTCGACATCGTTCTCCTGGCCACTTGTCCCGACATGTCACATCTGTCTGTAGGGGATATTTTTCCTTCGGGTACACAGCTTTTGGGAATTTTGGTTTAGGTTAGATGAGACTAGTTCTTGAGCTCTTCAGAGCGATAGCTGATTTATTGATCTTTTGACTGTGTTCGCCCCGTGCCTTAAGGATCGAGAGTGACTCTGCTCTGTATTTGGAGAGACATGTTACTGAGATTTGCGGACATTGTTTGAAATTTATTTGGCTGATCAACCTTAGTGGTCAGGAGCTTGGCTATATCGTCTCTGGGAGTCTTTCGATCTCTCTTGAACAACTTCACGCGTTTTTCAATAGTTTCCAGCACGCTCATCAAAATGGGTTGGCTTGTTTGATGAAGGCATATCCCGTTGAACCCAGCTAGCAACCCAATCGATCATCCTAGCCAGTGGAACGACCGGATATCCATACAGGCGCTGTGCCGCGAGGCTGTGATTGTGGTATCCGTAGGGCGACTCCTCGCCCTCGAACTTGGGCTCAATGCCGAAGCGGCGCCCGAATTCATGCGCCAGCATGCGGACGCTGGTATATTCCGGACCGCCAATGTTCAGGGCGCTGGTCGGCGAGGTCGTATGCGCCAGAGCCCCGAGGATTTGCGCATTGCTGTCCCCTTGCCAAATG